AAATAATACGAAAAATTCTAAAGTTACACTACAAATATCCCTCTGCTCAACTCTACGACCTTGTTCCCTTCCCCAGCATTACAGACTTCATAAATACACTCCAAGGAAAACTAGCTCTCAGAATTCAAATACACAATCATCACACACTTTCTCTATTCAAACTTCCTCCCAGTAGACTGTCTCAGGCTAAAACCAAAAATTAAAATGCCATTCCCTCCAGCTAAACTAGTGCAGAATCTGAATCTGATGTTCCCATTTTCAATGATCTTACTGAAAACATTAGCCCATTCTTTCTGTGATATTCCATATTCCAATTTCTTTCTTATTTATATTTCTTAGTGTCTATAAAATGTGTATTAGGTGTCCTTTAAAATGTGTAATCTTAATGTTTTCTAAATGTGTACTTGTCTAAATGTGTTCTCTAAAATTTCTATTCATGTTCTAAACCTTCCTGATTTCAAGAATGTTCTGTTTTTACTCTACAATGTGCTTCTATCCACAATGTTATTTTTTTTTAATACTCATCAAATCTAACCCTTAAACTGCATGCTGAAAGAGCTTAGGCTTAAGCAGTATGAATACTATGTAAAATTCAAACATATAAACCACTTCATATATGAATAAAACATTTGAAACTTTAATAAGATGTTCAAAAGTCTACTTAAAGCAAAAATTTTGTATAATGTTATATTGGATAGTGTTATAATAATGCTTACCAGATTTGGAATGGGACAAAGAATATGTTTGTCCAATCTTCCTGGTCGAAGTAACGCAGGATCCAGAAGATCAGGTCTTGAGGTGGCAGCCAAAACGCAAACTCCCGTCAAAGATTCAACACCGTCCAACTGAGTTAACAACTGATTGACTACTCGATCGGTAACCCCGGTGCTATCATGTCCGCGTCTACAAAATTCCAATTCCCATTAGAATTCCAATGATAAAAATGAAAATAATTACCTTGGCGCTAAACTGTCAAATTCGTCGAAGAAGAGAATGCACGGCCGAGCACTTTGCGCCCTTAAATAAATAATAGAAATAATAGAATGTGTTTAGCAAACAATCGAAGAAGAAAAATACTTTTCGAAGACGTCCCTGACCGCCTGTTCACTGGCCCCTATATACTTGGACAATAGCTCCGGACCCTTGATCGAGATCAATCGGAGATTGCAGTGTTTAGCCGCTGCTCCGGCCAGAAGGGTCTTCCCAGTTCCCGGAGGTCCGTACAACAATAAGCCGGACTGCAACCTCAGCGGACAATTCCCGAAGATGTTTGGATACTGCACGCGAAAACAGAAACGAAATTAAGTATCAGAGATTGCTTTTCAGTCACGAAATCAATGGATAAAGTAAACACCTGAGCTGGCCACATCATGGTCTCCACCAGACTCTTCTTGACAACCTGCAATCCTCCGATATCATTGAAATCTTTATCACCCGCCGCGTGTAATTTCACTTTCTTCAAAGACAACGAAGACGAATTCTTCAAAGCCTCCAAGCAATTATCCATGCTAACAATTTCCGATTCTAAGAAATCAATGTAATTAAAAATTATATTTAAATGTAATCATAATAAAGCTTTACCCGTTTTATAAGCTTCGAAGATACTTTTATCCATGTAATCAGCGAGATCTTGCGCCACGAAACCCTCAGTTTTAACCCCTATCTCATCCCAATTGATGTTCTTCTCCCGGCTGACCTCCTTCGCCTCGAGGAAATGGTTCATCAGATGTATCCTGTCAGCCTGAAGGATGTTCACGGATGATTAATGTATAGAAATCTTCGAGTTGCAACAAACCTTGTTCAGGTCGGCCAAGGCGAAGACGTTCTTAAAGAGATGCTTTCCCCGGGACGAAAATATATGCTGATTTAATTTGTCGAGGGATTCGCTCGTAGCTAGGATCGAGATGCGATTTGCGCTCAGATAATTCTCGAACGCGTCGGCCAACGTTTCGCTAACCCTACGAAAATAGCGTTATCTCTTTTTTTCATTATTTTTTCGTTAATTTCCAATAAATAAGTGGATTTTACTTATTGAAATGGAGGTTCTCCTGTGTCGGTGCTTCTCCCTCGACGACCCTCTCGCAGATCACTTGCAGATCGTCCAGGATCAGTAAAGACGGTTGATAGTAGATCAACTTCTGGAACGTCGAAGTCATTGCTTTAAGAAGCGATTCTATGCTCTTGTTTTTCAGCTTCTTGCAATTGACGGTTTCCACGTGAATGCGAGATGGTTTTTCCGAAAGATCTTTGGCAATTTTTGCAACTAACTTTGATTTTCCAGTACCTTGTTTCCCTATAAGTGAAATGAAGCATTCTTAATGAAAATTTATAAAAAACAAACATATCTCTTTTACAAGAACATTAAAATAATGTCTTAAATTCAGATATTTACAATAGCTAAAATATAAAACAAAAGTTAAATAAATTTAACAAATTTTCTAAAAACAAAGATGTTAAGAAAATCTCTGTTTTCTTATTGCCTCTATTACAAAATCCGATACGAAGTTAGAAATTCGGATCTCAATAACAAATCCATCTAAAAGACAAAACTTACCAGTCAATAAAACATTGCTACTAACAGTATTACAGCAATGCGCGAATTTCAATTGAAAGCAATTGATTGCAGCATCTGAGATCTCCTGAAAGTTTCCGCATTTCATGTCCACCTGTAAATCGTCCTTAACATCCTCTTCCTTCTTATTATCCTCCACCAATTCGGTACCAAACAACGCAAATTTCCTGCATCCCCGCAAAAAGTCACTATCGATCAACCCGAACTCCTCGTGCGGCATGAACTTGAGCGAAAACCGAAAATTGCCCTTATCCCCCAAAACCACATCCGAATTCATCAACAATGCGCCTTTCTTAACCCTATCCGCCAAGTACTCTCTAACCATTTCATCCGCCGTAGTAAAATACCCGCTGCTGGTAACAATTTCTACAGTTTTCATAGTCGGAATCGGAATCACCTTCGTTTCCAGGATAACCCGACCTCCTATACCGCAATCAAAGTGCTCCAAGATGCTATCACTAACGAACAAAGCATCTTCGAAATCCGTCTCTTCCATCACCAACACGCGAACTATTAAATCCTTCGGTTTAACATCCCCCATACAAATTAACTCTAATTGCGCTAAAAGTATATCCGAAGTTTCAATTGAATTGGCTATACTGTTCTTGTGCAAGTAAACGTTGAACGGATGCTTTTCACAATCAATATTCAAATCGGTTAAGGGATGCAACCTGCACACGATTTGCGTTTTGATAACATTCTTCAAAACGTTCTCCTGCGGAAAATCAATATTCTTATCAGCCTGTGCAACTGGTGGCATAACCTTCACTTCAGTTAAATTCTCAAGGCGACCTGGGGAAATTGGCATGATTCCATCTTTAAAAAAAAAATAGTGCACTTTAAAAATACTTGCTGCACACGTAAATTGCCAATTCCCATTACCTATAATTACAGTCACCCGAACTGAATTCGATATCCAAACCACCAATTTCTGTTTATTGTGCACTATCCGCACTTGATTCATCAATGATTCCTGCACATCTCCAGCTAACATTTCCTACAGCAATTCACATCATTATAAAATTAATTATAATTTAATTTTAATCCTCACCAGTATTTCAAAATCATCTTTTGTAGCTGCCACCATATCAAGTGATTTAACACTACCCACAGACCTAGTGCTTGCCAAAGACACAATTTCATTTTTCTCAATTCCCAATTCTTTAGCTAAAATGGGACACAGAGCGCATTCGCCTTCTTTCAGCATCAGCAGAGGAGGCCCCAATGAGAAATAAGAGTTTTTATTATCACCATGGCTCATCCGAATGAGCAGCTAAAGTAAAACAAATAATAAAACAAAAGAAAATAAAACAAGTACACCATTCCTTTTTTACCTTGTCTGAATCAAGTTGTCTACAATCTTGGCTCGAGAGGAACAGAAAACTGTTCTTCGAGCTTATAAACTTCACTTTGTACTCTCTGTCCAGCATTTTAACTTTAAACAGGTTCAAACTACAGGAAAACGAAAGGTTTCAGTTAACATGAAAAGGCAACTTTTAATTTTTGACAAGACACAGTTTTAGGGAATCCCCTCCACATAATATTAGATAAAAATAAAGGTCTTCTTATTAGAAGTTTTGGGCAATAAGAAAATGAAACTTCTGATGATAATCAATCAAGTGGTCATAGATAATAATAACATAATTATTATTTATTTTGAATTTTAGGTTAAATCCTTCCTTCAAATATTCCTTGAACTAGCAGCGACATTTTCAATGAACTGTAAACTTTTCAGTTATCCTGAAAGATGGCTCTACCAATTTGAAATATCCTTACCTAAAATACTTCTAATTCTTTCCATTTTATATTCTCATCATCATCCTAATAAATACACGTAATGAATTAAATATTTGATGATATAATTAATAAATTTAAAGTTATTGAAAAAAGTTTGTAATCAAATTTAATCACATTTTTATTAAGTAATTTAAACAATTATACTTTCAATTTGACTTTGCCATCGCCGGCTTTTGCATTGAAACTCTGTGCGAATCCAAAATCGGAGCCAGTTGAATTTACCAAGAAATTATGACCTTCCTTAGAGTCATGTCCACCCACTTCAGCTCCCAAACTAAAACTTAATCAAATAATATCTCAATCAATATTAGTAATTAGTATTACCTTTCCAACTTTGTGCTGACTATACCGCATTTTACAAAAGCGAATAGAACAGAAAATACGAATAGGAAACTTATGAGTCTCATCTTGATGAATCTACAAAACTGAGAACAAACAATTTAAAACGTTTGCTTTTATTGCACACAATTAAACAATGTAGCATTTAATTGAAACAGAAAAACAATAAACTTTTCAATCAATATATAACACATATAACACTTAATTGATTAATTATTTTTTAGCCACAACTATAAACTAATCATTAATTTAGCAGTATTATCAAATAATCTAGATTTCTGGATTTCTATTGTTTTTTTTTTCTTCTTCAAAATGACAGTTTTGGCAAACTAGATGTTCTCATTATTTAACTACAATACTTGAACTAAGCAGACAATAGTTAAGTAACATTTAACAATTAAGTTTCTAATTAATAATATTTAACATGAATTCATACTTTTACTAATTATAAATCTCTAAAAGTGAAATATTTACTCAACAATTTTTCTTGATTTTTTAACCCTTAACAAAACTTTATCTTTCTGCAATTGTATTTATTTAATAATTAGTACTTCTTCTAAGTAATCGGTAAATGGATATTAAAATCAATTAAAGAAAGTTCATGTAACAAATTAATAATTTTTATTAATAAATTCTACAATCATTGTTTATATTTCTATATACGATTTCTGCATTTTTATGGACATTTATCCCTTCTGTTTGGCAACACCTTCGGCTACGTTGAAGCTCTTTCCAAATCCGAAACTGCTGTTGCTGGCTTCCACGACGAAATCGTGATGTCTTCTTTGCGGATCAACAGCACTTCTAAAACCAAACAATTAAACATGTTACCATCTCGTAGAAATATACAAGAAGGATAATCTTACGGATTTAAGACCTTGCTTTGCACGCTCAACAACAACATGCAAACGATCGACAGCAAGAATAGGAAATTCATCTTGCTTGTTTGATGAAACTTTCGTCACATACAAGAAAATCCATCAACGCCTTTTGTAGTCTCTGTTTTATATAAAAAAAAAACAATTACTTTTATAGTAATTAACAATTGTTCGTGGCTCGATTACTTCTTTTGTTTCGTTTAGAAACAAAACATAAAAAGTAATTTTATTGGTGCACGTGTTGCAATTTATAGAAATTTAAATATTTTCGTTAAAATATATTTCTTATACATTACTATTAAAAGATTTTTTATTTATTTTTAGTATTTTATCCTTAATTTTAACTAATTTATTTATGATATAAACTTCAAAATATGACAGTTAACCAAAGTTAAGCAATATGTATTAACTGACAGTACTTGAACATGTCAGTGTTTGACAACTCTGATCAAATGGAATATAAATCTAATAAAACGAATTAATTTTCTTATAAGAATTTAAATCTGAACAATGTGCAGTATTCTAGCAATAAAGTATTAACTCAATTAGATTTTAACAATTTATTTATAAATAAACAAATTATTATGTACTGATACAAATTTATATTTACAAACTTATGATCTGCGAAGAAAAAAATTTAGATATTTTAATGATATATGTATTTGATAAATTAATAAAAACAATACAAACCCATTAATAAATCATTAAGTTGACAAGTATAAACTAATGAATTTGGATCAGTTTGTTTCGTATATAACAAAGTTTTATTATATATAATTATAATAGGTGAAAGATTTGCTGGTGGCGAGAAAGATGTACGTGAGATTGGAAGAGCTTCTTCGAAAACTGAATGAACAAGAAGACGAGTGGTTGGGCAAACATAAAAAAATGGAGGTTTGCCCTTGGAAATCTTCACGGTTGATTCTTTTAAAACGACTACCAAAGTAAAGCAATATAATTTCATTAGTTATACACTGAAAATACATGAAACAATAAAAAAAATCAAGAGAATTAAAGCAAAAAAAAATAGTTTTTGACACATTTCTGTCAATTTTTTAATTGAGTTAAGTGTATCAGGTAATACATGTAATTCAATTAATTGAATATATTAAAATTGCTTAAGAGAGTTAAGTAGTTTGTACGAAATATTTCTTGGATGGGTGATCAAACTATTATTTTGTTGGAAACTTTATGTTGTAACACAAGACACATTTTCACTGAAGAAACATGGCTGAAAAACCTCGTGGTCAGGTACTTTGGACACCTTTAAATTATTTTGAATACTGGAGTGCTTATGTAATACTTTTCAATCAGAAATGTACGTTTTGTATGTTTATAAGAAGTTAATAACACATCGGTTAATAAATGTTTAAACAATTTAAGAAAATTGCTGTAGTTTTTTTATTCATCGTCTTGAATGTTTCCTATATAGTTAAAGTTAAAATACAATTGCGTGTTGTTGTTGAATTGCTTTTGGTGTACTGCACAATAAATTATTATGTTTAGACTAGATTCGCGCGTGTCGGTCAGGACTCGACCAACTCGTTTATAACATCCATTTTCGTTTCGATTTTCTCCAGAGCCTTGACGGTTGCGGAAGCCAGATTGTGGAAAACCTCTTTTCCGATCGTCTTCAACCTCTGATAGTCTTCCTCGAAATTACCTTCATTCTCTTCAGAGGAATATGCACAGCTGCAAAATGAAAGAAAACAAAAAAAAAGTGTTAATTACTTTAGAATTGCTTGCAAGTTGTGATCACCAACTTACGTGTATGCTAAACTAATTGAGATGATGAACAGAACTGCTAGCAACTTCATTTTGGAACTGATGCCGATCAACAATTGGCCGCAATAATTTATAGCCGACGACACATTTTTATTGATTATTGTTCGCTGCAGTTTTTCAATTAAATTATAAAAAAAAATAATTTGCAATTAGCGAACTAGAAACGCTACACTTCAACGAAATTCCAAATTTTATTTTAGTTTGTGTTTCAGTTTCATCGTCGCCGCAACAACAAATAAATAAACCTTGTTTAGTCATCATTTTTATTTTACCTTTTATGTCTGATCACTACACAATTTTTGGATAATTTGGATAATTTTGTAAAAGTTCATATTTTATTATTAATTTATCTATTTGTAGATTTAATAAAGGATAACTATTTTCTTTATTAATTGACTTATTAAGGAAGACAAGATTAAAGGAGGTTAGATAAAATTAAGTTAGTTTATGTTAATTTAGGTTTAGGTATAATATCGTACTGTCAATGCAACAAAAGAAATTATTATTATTTGTTGATTGTGACTCAATCTGCTTTGGTTATTAGTGATCTAATAACAATACATCATAATATAAACACTTGACTATATAGATTAGGTTAAGTTATGTTGTTTATAATTTAGGCTAGACAGTTTTAGGTGACTTATTACCTCATTTTTGATCTAATTTAGGTAACTTATTGTGATTACTTTATTTTTGATCTAATAAGAATACGTTATAAAACTTAATCACTATAAATACTTAACTATAAAGTTTTGATTATTTGATAAAGTCTTAATAAATTAAGTAAGATTAGGAAAGATTATATTGCTTACGATTTAGATTTAACAGATTTAGGTGACTTATTCTGATTACTTTTTTGTCAGTACAGTAAGATTTGAACATAATCTCTATACCACATAAATTGACCACATAAATTAGTTTATTCTATAAAGTCTTAATAAGTTAAGTAAGAATAGGTTAAGTTAAATAATTTACGTTAAACAGTTTTAGTCGATTTATTGGGATTACTTCATTTATGATCTGATAAGAGTACGTCATAAAACCTAATCACTATAAATACTTAACTATATAGTTTTGTTTATTTGATAAAGTTTTAATAAATTAAGTTAAATTAAGTTAGGTTATATTGTTTATAATTTAGATAAAACAGATTTAAGTGACTTATTCTGATTACTTTTGAGTGATCTAATAACAGTACGTTTTAAACTTAATCTCAATAAATACTTGACTACATTGATTAGTTTATTCCATAAATTTAAGCAAGAATAGGTTAAGTTATATTGTTTACAATCTACGTTAAACAGTTTTAGGTAACTTATTCTGATTACTTTAATTGTGATCTAATAAGAGTACGTCATAAAACTTAATCACTATAAATACTTTATATAATCAGCACGTTCAGAACTTAATCTCTATAAAGACTATATAGTTTAGCTTAATCAATAAAGTCTTAATAAGATAAGTAAGATTTGTTTAGAATATATTGTTTATATATTAGGTTAGATAACATTACTTTATTTTAATTCCTATTTTACATTTTATACTTTAATTTGTAGTAAACTTTACATAATAAATTTATAATTTTAATATAAATATACTTTAGTTGTTTTTCATTCATAGAATATTAAATCTACACTGATTCATTAAAATATTACTCAAATTTTCATATAAAAGACAAGAAAATAAAACCAGATTAACTCTAGTAATTTATATAAATTAATAACAACAAATTTATTAGCTAAAAATAAAACTTTCTTCTTTTGATACATACAAAAATTGAAAATATTAAAGTTTTGAATGACAAAATAAAATTTTAATTTATTATTCCAGATTTGAAAATTGTAAGACTTATAATTAATAACAAGTAATTTATTTTTGATATTTTTTCATATTTGATATTTGATTTGATTGCATTAAAAATAATAGAAAAAAATCAAATAATTTTAATAGAATTTACAGATTTTGCATATTTTCTATTTTGTATATCAAATATTTAACACTACTAGCAATAAATTGAATGATTTTTACACAGCACATTTAAGTTTGAACTAAAACTAAGTTCAAGAATTAACTTAAATAAAAAAACAGATATTTTCAATTTTATTTTAAGTTATTGTTTATTAACACTTTCATTTAGATAAATGAATTAATTACAAGTTGAACTAAGTAAACTGTATTAGGTTTTAGGGATTTATAGGCTGTGCGCCGTGTCCCGGCATTCCTACGGCAAAGAAAGCGGATCCCTTGGAGTATTCATTGAACATAGCATTTGCATCATTATCCGACAAGAATATTCCCTCTCTCCTCAAATGATTCCCAGAGGTTGGAACAGCTACCGCGAAGAAGCTGCAAAGAAAAGAAAGAAAATGATGAAGCACGAAATAGACTACTTACAACAGGGCGAAGCACGTTACGACGAAAAGGAGACCACTGTAGAAATACATGTTCGTTTCTATTGAAGATCTTCCTCTTAATAAACCTACATTTATATAGGGAAACAATGCATTCTACGCTTTAGTGAATTCAATTGTTAAAATCAATTGCTAAATCGAAGTATCTCAATCATTTATAGTTGATCTAATAGGAAACTAAAAACTATTTTTATAAAAAAAATAATTAAGAATTTTAAATAATAATCGTTTATTAACATTTTGAATAGGTGAATGAATACAAGAATTCGACCAGAAGAAGCAAAAACGAATCTAAACTAATTTCTGACTTGCATTAACTGTATTAGACTATAAAATTGTATGCGGCTGTGCCGTATTTTCCGGCGAGTCCAACAACTCCACCGGCGAAGTCGGTTGCATCTCTGATGGCTTCCCTTCCGGTATCAACCAGAAGTCTTTCCTGATCATTAGTCAAGAAGAGTCCTCTCGGTTGTGTGTAAACTGGAATTGCATTCGTGATGCAGCTGCGAAGAAAAGACAATTTTATTTAACGTCGTGAAAACGTTACGTGCACGAAACAGGATGATACTTACAACAGGACGAAGCACATTCCGACGAAGAGGAGGCCACCGTAGAGATGCATGTTGCTTTCTGATGTCGTTCGTCCTCATCGTAATCTAGTATTATAAAGGGGAAAACAATGCGTTCCGCGCTTTAAAATTCGATTGTTCATAGTAAAGAAGCGAAAAATTGCAACAGTTAATTTCCTCAATTTCGACTTTTCAATTTCAATCAAATATCAAATTGATTTTTCAAACAATCACGAAATTTTATAGACAATTCCCAAAATCCTGTCTCAAAATTATAAATAAAACAATATTTCCTAAAGTTATTAAGTTAACTAAAACAAAAAAACATATTAATATTATTAATCATTTTAATTACATATTAAACTCAAAACAAATCACAAAATTTTATAGACAATTTTCAAAATCTTGTATACAAATTATAAATAAAACAATATTTGCTAAAATTATTAAGTTAAACAAAAAACGTATTAATATAATAATTAATTTCAATTATATATTAAACACGAAACTAATCACGAAATTTTATAGACAATATTCAAAATCTTGTTTAAAAAATATAAATAAATTTAATATTTACTAAAATTGTTAAGTTAATAAAATAAAACGAATATTAATACAATTAATCATTTCAATCACCTATTAAATTTATTCTTGAAATAATTAAGAAATTTTATAGACAATTTTCAAAATCTTGTCTAAAAATTATAAATAAAAACAATATTTACTAAAATTGTTAAGTTAATTAAATAAAACACATATTAACACAATTAAACATTTCAATCACATATTAAACCGATTCTCGAAATTTTATAAACAATTTTCAAAATCTTGTCTAAAAATTATAAATAAAAACAATATTTATTAAAATTGTTAAGTTAACTAAATAAAACACATAATAATACAATTAATCATTTCAAACCTATTAAACTGATTCTCGAAACAATTTCGAAATTTTATAGACAAATTTCATAATATTGTCTATAAATAATATCATTATTTACTGAAATTATTAAGTTAACTATAAAAAAAAAGAAATTAATATAATTAGACATTTCAGTCGCATATTAAACCGATTCTCGAAATATTATAGACAATTTTCAAAATCTTGTCTAAAAATTATAAATAAATATAGCAATATTTCTTAAAATTGTTAAGTTAACTAAATAAAGCAAATATTAATACAATTAATCATTTCAATCACATATTAAATTGATTCTCGAAACAATTACCAAATTTTATAGACAATTATCAAAATCTTGTCTATAAATTATAAATAAAATCAATATTTCCTAAAGTTATTAATTTAAGTAAAACAAAAAACATGTTAATCATTTCAATTGCATATTAAACACAAAACAAATCACGAAATTTTATAGACAATTTTCAAAATCTTGTCTAAAAAATATAAGTATAAATAAAAATAATATTTACTAAATTTATTAAGTTAACTAAAACAAATTAATATAATTAGACATTCCAATCACATATTAAACCGATTCTCGAAATTTTATAGATAATTTTCAAAATTTTGTCTAAAAATTATAAATAAATACAACTATATTTCTTAAAATTACTAAGTTAACTAATATTAAGATAATTAAACATTTCAATCACATATTAAACCGATTCTCGAAATTTTATAGATTTTCTAAATCTTGTCTAAAAATTGTAAATATAAATAAAATCAATATTTACTAAAATTGTTAAGTTAACTAAAACAAAAAACATATTAAAATTAAAGCGATTCTCTAAATTTTATAGACAATTTTCAAAATCTTGTCTAAAAATTATAAATAAATACAACAATATTTGTTAAAATTACTAAGTCAACTAAAACATATTAATATATCATTAATTTCTTTCAACAAATCAGTTAATTTTATTTCATTTTTTTGAACCGGAATAACATAAAGTAAGTAATGAATGCATCGAACATGCATTATTCAAATTCATTTACAGTTACGAATAAAAAATACAGCTATTTCGTAATAAACCAATGACGACTTCGTTTATTACGAAATGCTACTAGAAATGACATTTCAATTTGTATATTTTGTTTACAATTTATCATTAAAAACAGATTACAAAATCTAGGTCACGTCTATTAGTTTTACAGCCTTCCTAGACTTCTTTGAACATTATCTGCATTTTTCAGGTAGTTCTTTATTATATTACATTTTCTTTTTGTTGTCCACAACAATATTTCAATTTGCATTCAATTTTCTCATTGCATTATATAAATTATAATAATATATAGGGCAGAAACTCAACTTTTGACCTAATTTTTTTAAAAACTTTTCTCTTCAGATGTTAAATTGATTAATAACATTATTACAATATTATAAACACTTTTGTCTTCTTTGTATCTAGAACAATGTATAATTTGATAATTCCAACATTGTGTTGGTAGGAAGAAAGAAAAAGGAAAACATGTGATAATTAAATTAAATGTCGTTCATGCTTCCATTCATTCGTACCCTCCGTGCCCAGAATCGCACGACATATGCTCTTCCCATATTATTATTATTTCTGAATGCCGAAAGAACGTGACAACGAAAGACGTCTTTCCCGGCAGCCCGTGAAACCCATCGGAATGGAAAAGAAGGCACTAAATTTCAATATCTGTCAATGATCAGAAAGGCTCAATCCCCCTCCCCTTCTTTTATTTTTCCATACCCTTCGTATTGCACAGATGCAAGAAGAAGGCCCGCATGAACAATACAATCCTTACTTTCACTGCGAAGATTTTTCATTCCGAAGATGAAATTTTATTTGCGTCGCATGCCCGTAACGATGATGATGATGATGATCATCATCGGCCTTCGGATTGGGCGTGGACCCTTTTACACGAAGGAAAGGTGAATTCTGAGAATTGCTCAACCAACGTGGGCTGCGACGATCGGGGCCTCCTCTTCTTTAGCTATGGCCGAACATTTTCAGAGATTAACTTTTTCTTTTTGGAAAATTTTTCTCTTTTCGGAACTCTTCAAGTAATCAGGAATAATACTGTTCGGCCTTCGTTTTCCGAAAATATTATAGCAATAAAAGAAGGGAATTCCTTTATACACTGACCATCATTAAATTCCTTGAAAGCTGAGAAGAAGAAAAAAACATGCAAATTATCATTTACATTAATTGAGTATTCTTTTAATTATCTAATAAATATAATATAATACTAATGTTAGTACATAAATGCATATATTCTAATTGTATAACTACTGCAAAGGGCTTTTAACCATGGGTTTTTTTCCATCCTCCTAATAGATTTTTTTGCTTTATAAGTTATAAAAATAACATATAATAGAATACACTTGTATTTTCATCAAATATTTATACTTGTTACAATAAATTCATATGTTTTTTTTATTGTGGAATTGAGTTCATATTTATGAAAATGATTGAATGCTTTTTTCCTTATTGTGCTTTGTCTGGAACGTGCATTATATGTTACCATATGTGACGCAATTCAAAAGAAACGAAAGGTGCAAATATACCGGTCCTGAAACTATTTACTATTCATTTGCAAATTAAAAAATGCGTCAGTTACGTAACTAAATCATTATAAAATGTTCGAAATTAAATTTAGTTAATATTAAATTGAATACAGTAATAATTGTTGTAATATTAACAATAATATTGATTAATAATTATTAGAAATATGAATTTTTTTTTTGTTAATTAAGAAAATGTACTTGTTTTATTTTTGTAATAAAATGTAACGATTTGTAATAGGATTTTTAATTGGTATGAAATTTCGTCTGGAAATAAATCTTTGTAAAATAGAATATGCCTTGGGGTTGGGGAAAATCTGAAAGATTCGTCCTTTATTTTTTTTGTGTGTGTGTGAGGAGACACAATGGGCAAGGTTTTGGTATACAAACGGAGATAATGGGAAATCCGTTGGGCTTCTTGCCATTTGGCCCAAATTTTTGGAGGGAACCAAATAATAAAAAAAAAAACAAATATGGGACTGAAGTATTAACGGATAAAAGACAAGTAAAGATCATAGGAAGAGTAAGGAGTGAGTGAATCTGCGACGCATAATCCAGATTGCATAAAGTATAAATGCGATTTCATTCAATTTCCGGTTACGGTTCAGGCAACTCCCGCAGCATTTAAAGACCCCCACCTGTCAAATGCTGAAAAATCCGTTAAATTTTTTGAACGCCCAATTTTTTCCACGCTCAAAAATTTGTTCAATGCGTGGATTTTTATGTTTGCTATCGTTGCGATTAACGAAAATCGTCGATTTGTAGCTGGTTTTTGCAAGAAATTCGATATTTATTCGAAGATCTTTTGGTGACGTAGGCAACTAAAGAAGCAGATCTGCTGTTTATCTGTCAAAACCACATGTTTCTGTAGTTCTTCGGTGTAGGGATAGAGGGCTCGTTACCCCCTCCACCTGTACTGCGTCCAATAGAATTTCAGTATTCTTAAAAGCTTGAGCATTTCAAAACAACTGATCAAAATCGAAAAGAGAGGCAAACTCTAGAGATCAACGAACTTTTTTTTAACACTGGAAGCAACCCAAAACTTTACTCACTTCCTGTAACTGGAAGCGTTTGGAGCACCGAGACCTTGAGGGATTATCATTGAAGGTATGTAGCAAAGATTGGCTCAAGTTCCATCGGGATGCGAGCGGTCTGGACTTGTAGAAATATCGGCGGGCCGGAGGAGCCGAATGGCGTGTAACGGTCACCATTTTTTCTGCCGTTTAAACCGCCCAAACATTTTTCTGTGTTTATCAATCGGCCCCACTACTATTACAAAATTCAGTTTCAAGTTCATTAAAGTGCTTCGCATCATTCGGTCCGTTATTAACGTGTCGGGTTCAGTGGTAAGGTTACCTTTTCTGGCGGTAAAATTGCTCGATGATTGTTACTTAATCAATCCGTATACTTCCTTCTATTCTCTAATTTATTTTTGTTTGTATTGTTTCTATTGTTTATGCAGTACAGCATCATCTTCATAGAAAATGGCTCCAACAAAAGTAACCAGACCTATAATACCCACATTATCATCTAGAGTGACCACAAGGAGTAAAGCCAATAATGCAAATATTATAGTGAAAGGAAAACGAAAAGCTGATGGATCTCCTTCCAAAGAGACTGCTGTGAAGAGGTCAGCCCTTGGCGACTTGACGACGAACACTTTGGCAAAGGCCAAGAACGACGATAAATCGAAGATCATCAGCAAGAATGCTGTTAGCAAGAAAGTGCTTGTGCAAGCGAGGGTGTTACCTTCCGTTCGGACTGTGGCGAAGCCAAAGCAGAATGAGAACCAGGTGCCACCGGCGGCACCAGCACAGAAAATCTTGACGAGGGCTTCGTTGCGTTCGATCCCTGCGCCACCCAATCAAACAGCGCAAAAACCGAAGGAAGCTGTTAAAGATGTCGTCACGAGCAAAGTCAAGACGAGACTTAGCAATGAGTTTGAAAAGACTGAGGAGTCCCTGTACTGCACCGCCTTGGAGGACGTCACCGTGAACGGGAGTGCAAACGCAAGCAACAAGTCCAATGACAAAATGTCCATCACAATGGTAGCCCATCAGATGGAGAAGCAATTAAACTTAGGCAATCATAACGTCCCTGAAGACGTTAACGACTTTGACAGAGAGAATTGGGACGATGTCTTCCAGATCTCTCATTATGCAATGGACATCTTCAATTACTTGAAGGCTAGGGAAGCCACCTTCATCACTAACGACTATATGGACCGTCAAGTCTGCCTCACCAGGTGGATGAGATCTCTGCTGATCGACTGGATGGTCGAGATCCAGGAGTCGTTCGAGCTCAACCACGAAACATTGTATTTGGGTGTTAAACTGGTGGACTTGTATTTGAGCAAGATGACGGTCGGCAAAGAGACTCTGCAATTAGTCGGTGCCGCTGCAATGTTTATAGCCAGCAAATACGACGAGAGGATTCCTCCTCTGGTCGACGATTTCTTGTACATCTGCGACGGGGCCTACACTCGCAAAGAACTGCTCAAGATGGAAATCAATCTGTTGAAGGTGTGCGGTTTCGATTTGGGAATCCCGCTCAGCTACAGATTCCTTCGCAGATATGCCAGGGTAATTATACCGCTTCAACAAATTCACATTTTCGAATTCTCTTAACCGCCTCTTGTTCTCTCTTCCAGTGCTCTAAAGTGACAATGCCCATCCTGACTTTGGCCAGATATATCTTGGAATACTCATTGATGGACTACTCTACAGTCACCATCTCGGACTCTAAGCTCGCCTCGTCCGCGTTGTACTTAGCATTGAAAATGAAACAGGTCAGCGGATGGACTTCAACCTTAGAATTCTACACCGGTGAGTTGACTTGACATATTTCACTTCACTACTTTCGTTTTACAAAATTTGACGCCAATTTCACACCAATTCCATAGGATACAAACTGGAAGACATCCTCAGCACCGTGCACGTCCTTAACAACGGTCTGCATCGCAAACCAAAGGAACAGCTGATGACTGTGAGGAACAAGTATTCACACAAGATCTTCTTTGAAGTGGCCATGACGCCTTTAGTGAAAAATGAAGACTTGATCGTGTAGACGAATTACCTTGTAGTTAAGTTTCTTTTTTGACTAGTGTTTATTTAATTATTTTCTTTTTAATATTTTAAACAAATTGACTGCATCCTTCACCTTCACGTGCGCTGAGTTGCGTGTGATCATTAAAAACAATCGACTAACGAATCAACTTGAAAACCGAAGACACATTGTACAAGAATGGTTTTACCCCAAGAAAATTTACACAACGCTAGACGCAACGACTGAGTTTCGTCGCGCCCCAATTTTTTTTTATATATATATGTTTGTTGTATAAACATTTATTTTTTTTAATTATATATTATTTTTTATAAAGCAATCTTCGCTGCCATGTGTTATATATATATAATTAAGAAAGCTCGTTTTAACAAAATAGTTAAGTTCTTAAGATAGGTTTTTTTTGTTATTGTATTTAAATATATTTTCTGATATAAATTTTCTTTGGAAAAAAACTATTAAACCCGTCAACGAAGCATATCGACAAGACGTTGAATGAAAGAGATAGTTAGAAGAAGAAGAAGAAGAATGAAAATGCGGAAGAAACTCGAGGACAAGTATTATTAGATTTTCCTGCTCTTTGTGTAACTGATTTTTTCCTTTATAGATGATACTAATATGAACGTATATGTAACAGGCGTAATTTTCTTTTCTTAATAAAAATTATAATAGTTCAAACAAAATGCGATACGTTATGTATTATAAAGGAACGATCTGCGCTTTTGTAATTTTGTCGCGATTGTAGCTCAATACAATTAATTAATGTTAGTTTATCTGCGTCTTGTGATATCTCTGTTTAAAGGTATCCAAATAAAATGATTCCAGATGCAATCACGATTTGTCGAGTCTCCCTCGTTCAGGCTAAGACACAACCTGATATGGAAATCATTTTATTCTTAGTAGATATATGCAATTCTGATGAAATTATCAAAAGTACATAAGAGTTTAAAAAGAAAACTCGTTTAGGATAATTATAAATAATATGAAATTGATTATTATTATTTTTTTGTTTGTTTTGTATTAAAATATTTTCTTTTTTTTTATATATATTTGATTTCCATTCTTCTGTGTGTAACAATTATTATTATTATCTTCATTTAGTAAATATTAAATCTTTTTTTTATATAAATATCACATGTTTTCTCTTCTCAACTATAATAATCTCAAATCTGGGTGGAAACAAGTGCATATTCATTTTATTGGGCGGAGCAAAGCTCATTTGTTAATACTAGGGGGCGGGGTTAGCGTTGTCAATACTCGCACGCCTTCTTCCAAACCTTGTGCATCGCCGACACGGTAAGTCGTCGGATTCCTTCCAGCAAGTTATGTGGAAACAGCATCCGCACTTCTTGCATCTGGACACTGATCCCATCCTCCACGGGAAAAGAAGATCGTTTTTCTTGCATATTTCGCAGATGAATCCACGGGCCAGACACAGCTAAGAAATTATTTCTTATATCACATTATCCTGATCGAAGTGTTTTATACTTACTTGGCATTCGTAGACATGTTTGGAGCACATCTCGGCGATGAATTTAAATTTAACCCGCATTTCACCCGTCTTTACTTTGACTAGATCCTCCATCGAGTAAACGTCTGGGTCACTCAGCAAATAACTTCGTTCGTTCTTCAGGTAATCTTGTATACTGAAACCAAAATATTTTAAAAACATTTCATATTTCTTTAATAATAATACTTACGTATCGGCAAATCTGCAGGTCAATATGAAATCCTTCAGGTAGCTCAGACCTTCTCTGAACATTCGACAAGTCTTCATGGCCTTGTTGTTCATGAGCTTACGATTCAGTTCGAAAACTCTGAACAGCGGATCCGTGTACATCTGCTCCAAAAGGCGGTACGAGAAATTCGAAACAATGAATCTGAAAACGTTCAAATTAGTTTAAAAGTACATCGAAGTTGAAAGCTTATACCGTTTAAAATTCCAATTTTGGATTATCCTTGCTGGGATTATAGAGAGCTGGTTACTATGGCAACCTGTGCAGAAGAACCGCCCCAGGTAGTTGCAGTACCGAAACTTGGAAGCATACTGTTTGGCAACGCGCATACCGCATCCGGCGCACCGATAATTCTGTTTTGCAATCAAATCATTCCTCCTGTAATATATAATCAATATTAGTAACTAATTGTATGATGTTGTTTTCTAGTACTTACGAAACAATTGGATGCAAAGTGAAGATAACCTGAGGTCTCGGAGGCGCCCATTCCATGGTTCCCCTTAAAGATGTAACAAGCTCATCGCAATCGTCCGGACTCACAGGCCAACTTTTCGGAAGAGGTAGCAGAGCCTGAGGCGCATCCTCCTCGGAGACCAACCATACCAGATCGGAAGCCCTCGGAAGCTGCTTTTCGCTAAACTTGCTTATCAAAGTCAACGCAACTCCTTCGGCGGAAAGCGCATCGGATGCTCCATCGGGCGCCTCTCTGGTACGTTTCATAATATCCGCTTCGGAATACAGCGAAGCCATGGACATAGACAGCTCCATAATATCAGATAAATTCGACGCTTTGTCAATTTCCAAATCGAACACATTCTCTTCCGAAGAAATGCTTCCGGAATACGTGTCCGTTGATGAAGACATCGATGCTGGACTAGCTTCAGTTGTAGCTACAATAGAATCAAATTAATAAAAATCGATCGTTTGTAACAACAATACACACTGTCTGTTTTTCCATCGCTTAGCAATGAAGATCCGCCCCAGCTGGTTTGCTTTTGTTCTTCGACAATTTTCATTCGTCGTCTTAACCGGATGCGTTGCTTCAGCTGATTAATTTCTTCGTCACTTTCCTCCTGATGCTCATCGGAGCAAACTTTGCCGCATTTGATCTGTTCCATCGCAGAAATAACCGCTTCAGAGATGTTGAAGTGTGCGTTCTCGCGGTCCAATTCAGCGTTAGCTCTGGTAAACTGACTGGACATCAGGAACGATGTCAAACTTTGACCCTTCAAAGGTCTCGGAAAAAAACTAAAATATAATATTAAAAAAAAAGTTTATATAACAGATTTTTAAATAAATTATACCCAGTTGCCATTGGTAGAACACTCATGCCACCATCTTCAATGAAAGTCTTCTTCGGTTTCTTCGTATAGTCTTTCTCGCCACTCACGAAGCTCAAAAAACTGTACTCCGGTGCAGACGACGATACTTTTGTTTTCGTAACGGCTTTCGGTGCGCTTTGAGTGTGCTCAATTATATTACAATTATCAATTAAAACCCTTTTGGATTTTTGCGTCTTGTTCGGTCGTTTTAGCGTCGATTTCTTCGGTACTTTCTTCTGCAAAGAATCGTAATCCACTTTTAGAAGACTAGGGGAAACTTTCTCGTTGCCAATGATTCTAATAGGCGTTACAGGCGATGACCGGCATTCCGTGTTATGTCTGACCCTGGTGGCTATTTTAACACTGCTTCTATGCATATCAGGCAAACTTTTCCATGTCCTCAACTTCACCACAATCCTCTGCGTATCTTTGGTCTTGATTTCGTCGCACTTGGGTAGTGTTAAATCGAAACTTTGGTATGTCTTTCGCGTCGAGTTGTCTCGCAGATGTGCGTCAGGGAACGACGAACATCTTCGGTGGTTCCTGTGGTATTCTTTGGACGGTAGCAGAAATAAATGTGGCTTAATTTCGGATATGAGAGAGGGCTGGTTGCGCTCCACAGCCCTCAGACATATCAAAGTGGCTTCAGCGTAATCCTTCTGACATAAAAACGCTTTACTGTGGTAACAAGAGAGCAAATGGGATTGATCTGAGAGAAGCCATGATAGTTTCTGTGATAACGAATGATTCTCAAGACACCTGTACAGCCAAGTTGATGCTCTATCCTCTTTGATTGTATGTGGCAAATGACTTCTGTACTCGCAATCAATACTGAATGAAGAGTTTGATGTGTTCGGTTGAAGCCATTGCAGACCTTTAATAAATCTCCAATAATCCGACTCATTCTAAAAGTAAATAGAAGAATCATGTATACAGATTATTACTAATATGCATTGGTCACTTACCCCTGTCTGTGTAATTGTGCAACCATGTTTGAAGATCTTCACAACATCTACATGAAGCCTATTGAGACCACCATATATGTACCATACATTAGCCACCTGACTGCTCAAGAGACCCTCAACAGTTGACTTCAAGTCTCGAAGCAGAGTTTGATGCTTCAAGTGAACATCATCATCCCACATTTTGTTCACTTGAATAGTATATGCAGTATTCAGGAGATTAAAAGAGGAAATCACATCTTATCTCTTGCAGAATACATCAACAACCAGAAACTATGTGAATCACGACTCCATTATTTACACATAAACAAGAACTGATCTGATGATTGCCTAACCTACAACGAATTTTCTCATATGTTTATTTTAAAACATTCAAATAATGTAAATAATCCAAGGAAACAATTACGTCCTTTCATAAAATTTATTTTAATAGTAGAAATAATAAATATTTAACATTTATTAACATACAAATTGATTTTTTATACAAATTAGTATACACATTAATTATGATTTAAACTTTAAATATATTAATTTAAGTTAAAAGTAGATATAAAGTTAATATTTTATAATAAACGACTTGAAATAAACTTTATGAAAACAAGAGCAAACTATTATTTTCAAAGAAATATGTATAATTAGTAGCCTATAACTCATTTTTCAATTGTTTATTTATTATATTTATTTCAATAATATAATGGATTTACACTAATTCTATAAATAATTACATTTAAAATTATATAATTTTATGCTTAAAATCAATAAAAAATAATAATAATTTAACTAAATAACAATTACAATAAAATCTTATATACATATTTTAGGTACAAATAAATAAAATACAATAAATTTTACTCTAAATAAAAATAACAATAAAAACTAGGCCTTTAACATTTCATAATCGATGTGTATGAATTAAAATTACAACAATATAATAATCTATATTAAATTTATGTGAATTATTAAGTATTCTCGCGTTAAGTAAATGAAAAATTTAAAATAATGTAAGAATTTCGTTTGCGTATAGAAGTTTACAAAAATAGTAACATTTAGACATTTGATATGAGTAAGTCAAATTTTAAAAATAGAAAGCATACCTTCATTTGTTAACCACACAGAGCCCTATAGGAAAAGTATGTGAAGAAGCAAAATGCATAATTGTAAATATCAATTGAGGGCATGTTCAAGTATTCATCCTGAATTAGAAAGTGATTAAGGCCGTAGGCTATAGCACATGCCACACCAAAATAATTCTCAGTCATGAAAGAAACCAAGCAGCAAGAGAATATTTCCATAAGCATAAACGTATCCTTGTTTCCAAATCTGGACATTTTTCTGGATCTCAATATGAAAGGGATCAGAGACACTAGTGGATGCAAGTAGGCCACAACTGCATTGCCATTCAACTTAAACCAAAGTTGACCAACAATACATGGAAAAGCTAACATCTCCTTTAAGAAACCAACAAATTTGTATGGTTTATCGACAGCCCTCCCATGCAATGGATTTCCTAAAATAAAAAAAAGCAATGAACATAAAAACACAATGCAAAGCTGAACAGAAACATTACCCCATTTCCATACTCCCAGTAAAGAATGCAGGATAATTATAACAAAACCACTCATTGTCAACCCATTGTTAGATTCCAAACTGTTGATCTTCTTGAAACAAGTTATACTGACTATTGATAGTACTAAATGCGAAAGGGATGTGCAGTAATTGTGTGACATGGCTTGACTGGATTAGCTTCTTCAATTAATAATTAACCAGCAACATCTAAGCTACTGCAATAAAAAAAAAATTCTGCGAAACTTCGCCCTCGCTAATATTTACTAAGATCTGCAACCAAACTCGCAATAGTTGACAGTTCTTCGGGGACGTTGATATTTAACATAACCTTAAACAACAAAGGCACATGTTATGAGTGTGACCATTCCTTACTTGAGATTCGAGGGTGAAAATGTGCGAGGAACGCTTGAAATATGACAATAAATTCATCCTTGCACCTATGGTGAGGATGGGAACTCTTCCCATGAGGTTACTATGCTTGGATTATGGAGCTGATATTGTTTATACTGAGGAATTGATTGATTGGAAACTCATGAGATCATTCAGAAGATATAATGGTAATACATTCTTAAACTATGATCATATATATTTTTATATATAATTTTTTGTAGATGTTTTAAAGACTGTTGACTTCTTGGACAAATCTGATGGTACAGTTGTGTTCAGAACCTGTGCTAAAGAGAAGGACAGGGTTGTGCTCCAGATGGGTACCTGTGATGCAGGTCGGGCTTTGCAAGTAGCTAAGTTGGTGTAAGGTTCAAATTAGTTTGCATCTAAAATTTTACTATTTAGACTGATGTCCTATGTTTCTTTTTTAAAGAGAGAATGATGTTGCTGGGATTGATATCAATATGGGTTGTCCAAAAGAGTTTTCTGTGAAAGGTGGCATGGGGGCTGCTCTCCTAACAAAACCAGAGAAGGCTAAAGAAATCTTAAGTACTTTAGTGCAAAACAGTAAAATTCCAATAACTTGCAAAATTCGCGTTTTTGATAATGAGGAGAATACCATTAAATTGGTCAAAGATTTTGTATCCACTGGTATCTCAGCTATTGGAGTCCATGGTAGGACAAAATATGAAAGACCCATGCATGCTAATAGAAACAGTACAATTAAGAAGATTGCTGAAAGTATAAATATTCCTGTTATATCAAAGTAAGCATAAAATCATGTTGCATAAAAAATGTAATTAATAATTAAATTGTTAATTTTAAGTGGTGGATCAAGGGAGATTTTGAAATACGAAGACTTGGAGAAATTCAGGAAGGATACTGGTAGTTCTAGCGTGATGATAGCGCGCGTAGCTCAAGCAAATTGTTCGATATTCTGTAAAGACGGTATGAAAGATTTGGAGGATGTAATCAAAGCGTACTTGAAATATTCAATAGATTATGATAATTCGCCTAGCAACACCAAGTACTGCGTGCAGAATATGTTGAAGGAATTGCAAGTGACACCAAGAGGAAAAAAGTTCTTGGAATGTCAAACAATGGAACAAATTTGGTTAGTAATCAAAACTTTAACTAATTATCATAATTATCAAATTATGTTTTACAGTACAATTTGGGAAATGGGCGAATACTGTCGACAAAAACAACTTGAGTTTCAATCGAAAGGCATTTTAGGCCGACGGGAGATAACTCCTGACATGTTTAATCCGAAGCCAAAGAAGATGAAAATGGATGAAGATGAGGATGTAATTAAGAAACAATGCGCTTTCGTCAGAGCTTCCTATCAGCGTGATCCGGATTTGCCGAAGAGTAAATTGGTGATTTACTGCAACGAGAATCAGTTGAAACCAAGCTACGAAATTATTCACGAGGATAAATTGTTCAGAGCTATACTGACTCTGGACAATAAACGTTACAGCTCTACATTTTGGGAAAAGAACAAACGCAACGCTGAACAGGGAGCTGCGATAGTGTGCTTGCTATCATTGGGTATAATTGATTTGGAGAGTTTGATCAAAGGGGGAAGCATATTGAAATGAAGATTTTTATTTTTAACTATAAATTATTTATATAATATAAGAGAAAATCCGAAGAAAAAAAAGAAAATAGAAGACCAGAATATTAATGTTTATGTACCATTTGAATTTTAAATAAAACACAGCATGTGCAATTATTTATAACTATATTAGCAAAAAGTAAACTTTATTTGAATACAATCAATATTACCACTACACAGGAAAATGAATGGTAAGTAACTGAAAGCTTGGTACTTGTAGAGTATACTTGCCAAGTAGCTAAGAAGTTTTGGTCCTTCATAGATGGGGGTTCTACTTATTACAAAAGAAGAAGTAGTTTTATATTGATACAATAATTTAATTAACTGAAATAAATTAATAATATGAATTTAGTAGTAAATATTAAAATTGTGTTTATTGGATTTTAAGGAATAATGCACAATTACCATGTACATTTGGTTGCCTATACCATTAAATATATACCGGGTGGATCATCTTAAACGGTGACCGTAACATGATTAAAATGTCTGATAGTATAAAAGGCCAATATGCAAATAGCAATATTGAATAAATTGTAGATATCTTGCTTGGTCAGAGCATCATCCTCGAATCGATTTTCCTTTTCCAGACCATAAGCCACAGATGCCACCACAGCTGTTGCGACTCCATACCAATTTTCTTTAATTACAGAAATGTATATGCACGAGATCATATTCAAAGCCAGTACCAAATCCACCAATTCGGTCTTGTATTTATCGGTAAAATACAGGACCAAGGGAATTAAGCAAATGCCTGGATGACAATACGCAAAATCTCTGTTCTCGCTCAACCAAAGCGTTCCAGCGATGCACGGAAACGCAAATAACGTCTGGATCACATGTGTCGTCTTCAAAATACCCGCAACGTCCGCCAATTCCACTATATTAAAAAAAAGATTATACAACCAAAAAGAAAAAGTGCCGAAACATACCATTTTCAATGATCCCAACTATTGAATTTGCAAGAACTGTGCCGTAAGCAATCGCCGGCAAACTTATAGCATGACCGTGAAAATGCGACAGACAATAGCAACTTGTTCCAGCCAAGAGTCCGTACGTGATAGCTTCCGAGTGTTTCATGCTTTAAGTTAATTTTAAAAAAATGTTACAGCAAATTTAGTATTGACTTTTGTATTTGAAAAAATAAAAGTTACCATGGAAACGTTTTGAAGACCGCTGGTGCGAAAGCGCCATCTGGTGTAATGCGATTAAATTAAAAATGAGCGACATCTGTTGGTCTTTCTTTAATGGGAATATTGCCGGTGTTTGGTGATAGAGGGTTGCTTGGCTTAAGGTGTTTTATGCATCGAGAATCCGGTGAAGATTGTAAAGAGGGCCAGGAAATAATTGAATTGAACGTATGCCGGAATTTCCATGACTTCCTTGCCCTCGAGAAATGCGAATTGTCCGACGGCTAAGACGAGTCCCCCTGCGATGGAGAAGACGTTGAAAGAAATTCCTCCGATTGCCATCATTGCGATCGCGTTCACGTAGACCCAGCTGGTCAATATTTGCTTTTTGTCTTTGCCGTCCATCAGGTACCATGCCAAAATCGCTATGCCAAAAGCCATCGGAGCTAAGTTCCCTAATTCGTGAAACTTGTTCTCAATCATCAGCTCTGAGGTGAAAAGCCCCAACCCGACGCTTTGCGCCACTGTCGTCGTTCTCCTCATGATGTATTGAATTTGATCATCGCCTGCCTCTTCGGCTGCAATTGATTATTGTATTATGATTTAAATATTTGGTTACTTGTTCTCACAGGATAATCGGAAGAAGGATACTATTCCGTTGATCAGAAACGTGATGAACGCCAAATAAGCCGGATGCAAGAAGTCCGTTAAGAAATTCTCAACAGTCATGAAAATTGCGAAAACCGCCGAGGCGACCAGCGCACCGTCTGATACCAAATCGATGATATCCTTCATGTTTGTTCACTTGAAAATTTGTACGAGAATGATGGAAGCAAATGCGATGAAGGAAACGGAAAATTTTAACTTGTCATTTTTTATATGTCAAAGCTGTTTCCATGGTATCAATCAGTAATAGCTGTAATAGAGAAACTTCATGGTTGACGATGGATGAGTAGGGCAGGTTGGATGTTCGGAACTGCATAGGTTTTCCGGAGGATTAATGATGCGTTCGCATGATGATGAATGGTTTGTTTGGAGTCCGGCAGATATGTTATCCCCCGGTTTACGTAATACTTAATCAAGTGGCCGGAAGTTTTGCAATAGGCTAGAAATGGACATTTTCACGGTTCTCCTTTTGCGTCTATTGTCATGCAAATCGCGAGGATTCTTGTATTATGACATCAACACAATTGCATGTCAGCGACGAGTGTTATTTATACATACACGGTGGACGACGATGAGGAGGGTTGCTTTGAAGGCCCCCCGTGCCTCGCGCCCTATGCGTTCCTATTGGCAGCCTAATTCAATGTTTCCAGTCCGTGGACCAATCGGGCACCCTCCACGGGGGGTTGATACAAAAGCTAAACACAGGGCTCCGAGCGGAATATCGCGCGCGTAATTACTAGCTGCCCTCCCCAGTTGCAAACCCTTCGTATCACTTTATTTCAGCCCTTGCAGATTCTAATCCTGATTTCAGTTGGAAACAAGCCGGTATTTTTTTTTAAATTCATAGCTTCAGAAATGAAGAAAAAAATACGTTGTGAATATGTCATAGCTTAATTTGAATATAATACTATTACGAAAAGTAATTCTAATCTCTACTTTACAAAAATTATATAAAATCGCTATGTTACTTTACATTATACAATAAATTTAGTTAATTGGAACATCCAGAATGTTAAATTTCTACAAGAAAACAATACAGAAGAAATATAGACATTTCTAAACTTAGAAATTTTACTCTAAATTGTATTTAATTTCAGTTTGATATACAGTGGAACCTCGCTTAACGATTTTAATCCGTTCCAAACTTTTCCGGATTTTTACTTGTATAGTGAAATACTCGTATAGTGAAACATGTTAAAAATACACAATATGTCTGCACAAGTTTAAAGAATGATTTAGCAGGCGCACAATCCGGGACTTCTCTTCTCATCGTCACTCGTTATGCGAACGTTCATTAAGTGAGTCATATTTTCTTACAATTAATTTTACGTCTATATGCAAATGGATATCAGTTTACAATATTAACTAAATTTCCTTAAATTTATGTGAAAGGTCCATTTCTATAGAGTTTTATAAGAAAACAATAAATGTTAAAAAAAATCGTCTACATGTTTCTTAATTTTATAGTCTTGGTACTTTTAATTACAGTTGAAAATTTCACTCTAAATTACGCTTACGAAATTTAAAACTGTAAAAGAAACTTAGTTAACATTAGCTATTACCTAAATTACGTTAAATATGTGTAAATGGTCCAGATTATTAAAGTTTTAAATAAAACTCAGTTTACTTAGATCTTTGAGTATTTACATGGAAAAAAACAATAAATTTCGTTCTTTTGTTAATACGAAAAATATTAATAATTAATTTAAGTCTGCAAGATTATTTAACAAGGTGTGAAATACATTTTAATTACAATAAACGTAAAGATATTATTTAATATTTATATTAAATTTTAAAAATCTATAGAAAACAACTGATATGTTCGAATCTTCCTAAAGAATGTCATAGAAAATGTCAGTAAATTTAATTATTTCCAATTAACTAAACTAGTTTTATAAATAAAGAAATGTCAGAAGCTAATACAAATTTTCATTTTTTTTATTCTAATTTTAATCTTCCCCAGAAGATAATTTCTTGATATATATACAATAGTCGGCATATTTTAAATTAAACAAATTAATGAATATAAGTTTTACCTACAAACATATTTGAAACTTGAACTAAATGTTAATTTTAATAATCTTTCAAGTTTTTAATACAACAGTAAATGAATCAATAAGTGTTTCATAGAAAAAAGTAGTAAATTCTAGAATTTGCAACACGAAACTTATATAATTATATTATGAATACAGCCGTCGGCTGAAGCTTTCTGTAAATGTGTTCTGTTCTTCTTCAGTTAATTTAGTTTAATATTTAGTTAAATATGTAGCTAGATTATAAGACAAAATAATGTTAACTTATATTTGCTCATATTGCAGAGGTTTATTAATTTCCAGATTTAGGAACATTGTAGTAGTTGTTACATAAGCAATAAAGATGCAGATTTAGAAGAAGAAAAAACAGGATTTTTGTATACTTTTTATTTTTTTATTTTGAAATTGATTATAGTGATTTATGTAGTTTCGATTTTTTATCATTGAGATATTGAATCAATTAACTATGATGTAAGTTCGTATGTTGTGTTTAGTTCTTGTCTTATTTTAGTATACAGTGGAACCTCACTTAACGAGCATAACGAGTATTTCGCTTAACGAGCAAAAAGTATTGTATTAATAATGACTCGCTTAACGAGTGACGATGAGAAGAGAAGTCCTGGATTGCGCGCCTTCTACATCATTTTTAAAACTTGTGTACACATATTATGTGTATTTTTGAATATGTTTCACTATACGAGTGACAATCCGGAAATTTTGGAACGGATTAAATTCGTTAAGCGAGGTTCCAATGTATTGGTAATAATTCTAAATAATGTATTAGAAAATATAGATTAACATTTAAATAATCTTTTACAATTAATAAATTAGTAGAATATTCAAAATTACTTAAATATACTCTTGGACACATTTGTGTTAAATATATTACAGTTGTTTGACACAATGAATGAGATCGTCTTTTCCACCGAAATTATCCATGACAAACATTCCTGCTCACGTTCACTCTTTAGTCGGTAAAAGTATATTAGGCAATAGCATGCAATTAAGTTGTATAAAAGGAAACTGTCCAAGGTAGCAGTTTTCCATTTGTCCTCCTGATTCGTAGAAACCTCTGTCTTTTTTTCTTCTACTTTGCCCAATTCTATGGCCATTCCAGCTATTATATTGAAATGGGTCAATTCCGACTTTTACAATCTCCTTTTGCATTTTTCTTTTATTTATTTTATTTTTTTTCGAAAAGTGACTACCTAAACTGCAGGGGCAGTCTAGGATGTAAACACAGTCGATGACACCCTTATATGTTTATTCAGAAAGAAGGGAAAAAGTAGTAAGAAGGAGCACAAGCAGCAGTTTTTGCGCAGATTTATTTATTGTGAGAGTCCCTAATATATATATATTTGGGGCCCCGGGGCGGCTCCGCGTTAAACTTCAAAAGTCTCTATTATTGCCCCTAAAGCCTACTCACTCTCCTTTCTCTCTCCGTCTGGCTTACACACCCTCATCTCTCCCTCTTCCACTTCCTACACAATAAACGCTTCAAAATTGGATTATGTACAAATAAACATAAATATTTATGATACACCGATATTTTACTATAATAAATCGAGGAAAAAGGCACGTTTCCATTCCAAGAAGGAAACCAAATGGATGTTAAATCATAAGATGAAAAGAAAACTTGCCTCATTCCAAGATTAGTTCTTAATAGAGATATACGAAAATAATGTATTGATACATTTTTTCATAAATTCGGCTTCAATCAGTCCGGATTCACTATAGTCCGATTTAATTTCCCGTACTACTTCTGTATTTATTAAATAATTTTAAAACTTATGAAATAAATGTTGTTTTTTGTACTTCTTTTAAATGATTCTATTTCTTTACAACATTTATGTTAATTATTATGTTTAATATAATTTAACAACTTTATACGTAAAGTGAGTGGATTAACAACGATCTGTAAGTAATTGTTAATCCATTTGAATGATTAGTACAAAGGCGTGAGAGGAAGTGGCCCTTCCTGCGATGACACTAAGTAGGCAATGTTGAGAAGACTCTTAGTAAATGGGAGATAACATCAATTGCATGTATCGTGACTAAAGAATATAAATTGTATAGAAAACTAGACATTCATTCTTTCTCAATGATTTAATGCAATGGCGATTCTATAGGATAAGATTACAAATGTGTATAGTTTACACATTGTTAATAAACATAAATCATATTAAGTTTATTTTTTTCTTTATGAAAATTAGTTCTTAATAATAAGTAAAAATATAGATTGAAAAAAACAATTTAATAAAAACAAGTTTTTTATTTGATATGTGCAAAAATTGTACTGTATAATGAAAAAAAAAAAAAATTATGAAAATTTAGTTTATTTCGAAGAAATGCGCAGAATATTGAAAAAGGTTTTTTCTCATGATTTTTTAATTAAATATTTTCTTTAAAATGAAAATTTTATGGAATTAATGTTGTAAATCAATTTTATAAGAAAATCTATAAGTAAAAAAACTAACTATATGACTTTTATAAAAGAAATAAATTATATATGAATGTCTTTTTGTAATATTTAAAATATTTAAATTTAAAATTTATTGGAAACGTGAAGATTATTTATAAGAGGATAAATAAGGATTTGAAATGAATTAGAAACGTGCTGCTTTTCCAATTATTTTGAATTGATATATGGAAAATGATTAAAAGTAATAAAATACAAGGTTTTATATCTAATTGAAGACTATATGAATTGAGATGATTTAAGAAACTTAATTTGAAAGCAATTGTTTTTTCAATATCGCGGACTGTTTGAAACAGGACTAATCGAAAACATATAGACACAAAGCGTACAAAAAATAATAATTTACTGTATAAAGAGGAAAAAAACTTTAACATTTATGTATACAAACATAATTTTGTGTACTAATTTTTAAGAATTTATTTTGCTAAATTAAAATTTACTTTGTTTTCAAAGTGGACTGTAGTGAATCCGAACTGATCGAAGCATTATGTGAATGAATTCAAGATTTCTTGAAATATAAACGAGTTTTTGTAATATCCAAGGATATTTAATTTTAAACGATGTTTTGTATAGGAAACATCAAATAAAATGCATGAAAATTATATTTTAAAACTATTTCAGAAAGGAATTAGAATCATGCACAGTTTTCTTAAATACTATTTTAAATAAATGAATTAATATTAACGTTCGGACAAAATCCGGAAATTCTCGGGGAAAATTTCTCGAAAACGAGTTTAATCCGTTCCAAAATTTCCGGATTTTTACTCGTATAGTGAAACATATTCAAAAATACACATAATATGTGTACACAAGTTTTAAAAATGATGTAGAAGGCGCGCAATCCAGGACTTCTCTTCTCATCGTCACTCGTTATGCGAAAAGTCGCTCGTTAATCGAGTCATTTTTATTACGAATCATTTTTCTCGTTAAACGAAATGCTCGTTATGCGAGGTGCTCGTTCAGAGAGGTTTCACTGTATACAGTCTCAAGTCTTGAACTATAATTCCCATAGATCAAGCCTCGAGAAATTTTAACATTGGAAATGGCACTAAAAAATATTTAGAACATAAATTTTGAAAGATAACTCTGAAACATTTTCATGCAATAGTGATTGCTGCGAAGACCCGAAAACTTTAAATATAGCAGATGAACTTAATGCAGCCTCAATGTCTCGTATAATAACAGATAATCAATAAAATGTTACTAATTTCAGCGCTGCAATATTCTAATTGAGGCTTTAAAAAATAATTGAAATAATTAAATAAAGTAGATTTTTTATACACTTATATTTTTTTCTTAATGTATTAAGAGAATATTTGTTAAGAAAAAACAAACTTTAAATATAATAGTTGAAAAACGGTAACTGAAAATAAGAAAATCCAATCGTGTGACAAATAAATAAGGATTAAACCTGAAAAAATGTTGTTTACTTATTTAATCATGTCTTAACGACGACACTTACAAAAGTTCAACGTAAACATGGATGCGTTTCCTTGACACTTCTAAATCCGTTGGGTAGAATCGGGGAGGCTTCAAAGGAAAAGAAGGAAGAAAAAAATAAAGAAGAGAAGATATAGTATCGTTTCTTTATGTCGCCGTCTCCGTGTTTTTAGTACCAAAGCTTTCCTTGTCGGCAGAGTTTTATATATGTTTGTTAAGGCAATCAATAAAATGATGCACTCCCTCGAGGAGTCCGAAAAAAAAAACGAGTGTTTCTTCATGTATAGAAAGAGGATTTAGTTACAAGAGCAAAATGGCTCCTCGAGGGCAGATGCATCCGGACAAAGAGATTATCTGATAAATCTAATAAAACATTTAAAGCGAGCTGCTTTACTCTCATCTCGTGCAAAAGAGGTTTACACCAGCCCCCGGTAATTGAAGAGTACCGATGTTGGAAAAGGGGAGGCGGCGCGCGCCCCCATTGGTCCGTTCCAAATCCCTCCTCCTTCACTACCGAGTCCTCCCAACAGGGCTACTAAAAGCTGGGCGCAGAGACGCTCACAGATCAGTACCACTGCAGCTGTTAAACAGTTAGTGACACTTGTTAGTCTGAAATATATAAATACATAAAGAACCGTTCAACTTACGACTTGTTTACGTGAAGTTTTCCGTGTAGTTAATCAAAAAGAAAATATACTAATTTTTTTTTTGAGTGAAATATGCATATGAACGATCCTGCATCAGCTTTGGCCGGTATGCTTCCCTTCGATTCGATGGGTCTCTACGAGCAACCCAAACCCAGGTTCATCTTCAAGATGCCTAGGGTTGTGCCCGATCAAAAGGCCAAGTTCGAATCCGACGAACTCTTCAGGAGATTGAGCAGAGAGAGCGAGGTGAGTTTTTTTAATCTTCTTCCTACGAATTTTTCCATTAATTATCCACCGAAGACAAATGACGTGATTTAATTGCTATACCTCGCGGGCAAAATCTCACAACAAAGCGAATTTTTACGATTCTTTCATTAATTTTTTTTTTCATTGCATTGGAATATTTTTATCTCCAAGAAAAAAGATGAATACATATTGATAGCGACTTTCTAAGAGCGATTTCTGCTTTTGACATTGAAAATTTCCCAGCCAGAGAATGCCAAGGTTTTTTTTACTAATGTTTTCATATGTGATCCGGGGAAGCACACGAATTAATAAGCACTGTTTTTCGTTTCACGCTTAACTTTTTTTTGTTCTCTCCCAGAAAATAAGATCAAATCAATATAATTGGTCGAACCAATTAAGTTCGAAATACGAGATGCAATTACTTGAATCGTTTGGTCATGCACCAATAAACAACAAATTTTTAATTATCAAAATATTATGAATCTTTTAAATAATACAACGGATCTTGTTTTTTTTTTTCAACTTCAACAAAAGTTAAATAACAAAAGTTTGTATATAATAATTTGATAAAAAAAGAAAACGATTTTCTAAATTAACATTTTTTATAGACGTAACAAATTAATTCTAAAGAAATGCTTCAAATTATTATTATTTTGTCATTTGTAATGTTTATTGTAATTCCTTCTGTTATGTAAAGACCTTCACATACAATTTTTTACCATTTCTTTTAAATTGTTCAAATTTGACTTTATATAAATTTTGTTTTTATTGAAATCTTTAACATGCACAAATAATTAACAGTTACAAAATAAAAGGAAAATTGGTTTTTCATTAATAATTGAGCGTATTTTCCTCGACCGTTTTTTGCACTTTATATTAAATATAATTTACTGCATTAATAATTATATGCTTTTTCCCGCCGCGGACTCATCGGGAATTCCGCGTTTGTTTAGCACAAGTCGAGTCAATATTTTACTTGCTCCATCGACGTAACAACAACAACAATAATAATAGTAAAAGAACGATACAAAGCATAAATTCTCGAAAATGATTACATAAAATACAGATAAAAGTCGTCACGACAAGGAAATGTTGATTTAGATTTACACTTATTTTTTATTCATATTTTTTTTATTGTAGTTTTCGCATTGTTTTTTTAAAGAAGTAGGTTTTTGGGCGACGAATGAGGCAATCCCAGTGTTTTCTTGGTATACGTCAATCCGAACATTACTCACTTGTACATGCCGGACATGCCTTCACTTTAGTCATCGCGTCGCGTATCCATTTCAATAATCATAATCGTTGTATTCACAAGGAAAAAGCAAACTTATATAAGTATTTTATATTTTTCAAATCTTTCTTCTATATTTTATCAAATTTATCATTTGTTTAAATCTATAATTACTTCAGTTAATCGTTAATTAACTAAAAAAATGACGTATGTCATTTTTTTGACATATGTCATTATTTTGACATATGTCACTTTTTTTTCTGTTTCTTCAAGGAAATGGAAAACATATTTCCAATCCATATTTTGGCAACATGATTTCCTGGCTTCTGGTGGTCATAAATTAGAATGTTTCATATTATTTGGACAGCTGTCGCAAATATTGCCGATCGTTATTTGCTTCTTAATTACTTAAACATGCAAGCAAATAAACTGTCACTTGCAAATCGTTTTCTTTTTTTAAAATTATTGAACACCGACGTTTGTTTGTCACGGCTTACCGGCTTAATTATTCACTATTGTTCTTTCACCTTTCAATTAGGATCTAAAATCCGATAAATACGTTTACTTTATTGCAGGTGTTTTCGTTTCTCGACATTCTTTCAACCTTCCATTAAATTATTATATCGTAATTTATCTCATTTCAATTGTTTATTATTATGTAATTGATAAATTAAGCAATGTTTTCAATGCATTCTTGATTCTATTTCAAACAAATCTTAGTTTTTATGATCAATATTTTCAATGATTTGCATTTAGTTTTATGATACATTTTCAATAAGATTTTCTTCTATTTATTTATAAAAAAAATCATATTTTTATACTTGACAATAAATTCAGTTTTTAGTCAGTTCTTTATCCAACATTAATTAAGAAAAAACAACTTTTACTTTTCAATCAAACATTTAATGTTAATAACTTTTATCTATTTAAAAAAGTTTTCAATTACTTTGCTATAAATTTTTCTATTTTTTTTTATTCAATATTAATTAAAAAACTTTTGCACGTTAATTTATTGATTATAAATTGAATATATCTAAAATAATGTTAACAATTTTCATGTTTTTTTTCTGTATTTTTTATAGGTTCGTTTCACTGGATACAGAGATAGACCTCAAGAGGAAAGACAAGTGCGTTTCCAGAATGCTTGCCGCGAAGGACACACGGAAATCGCGTTCGCAGCGACAGGAACGAACCTTCAATTAGTTTTCAACCCACCTACGAATGGATACATGCCTGAAAGGGAATGCGATTTCGAGAAAGAAGCTGGAAAGGTACGTGTTTCATATTTTTTCAATGCGCCTGAAACTTCGTCGTTTGTGTTGAAATATCGAACGCCCTCCGAAATGCAAAATGGCGTAAAACGACGCTCGAGCGACGCTGACCAATGAGAACGCGGCATCCGTATTGATCCGTCGCGACGCCATCACTGCTCTCAGCGTTGCCGCATCTAAATTTCACTACTGTCTGCTCTATAGTTTATACTTATCTTTCAGTTAGTTAACATTTTTGTATAAGATAAAATTAGGATAGTTCAATTAATTGAAAGTAATCATTAAAAATAAAAGATAATCATCAGATTTGTAAAATTAGAAATTTCATTTGATTCATTCTTAAAAACTTTAGTTCATACTTGTTAGTAAATAACTTAAGTTAAGTAAAGATTAATAATTAGAGAAAAGTGTTTGGAGTATTCAATTAATTTATTTTAAATTGAAAAGTTAAAAACTTTGTAATCATGAAATTTTTATATTTGAAACTAATTTAACAATTATGAAGATGTTCAGTTTATACTTTTCAACAACTTCCTTTTGAAAGTAATGACTTTATATGAATATTAGAAATTTTTCATTAATTCAAAAAAAGTTAGATTGGATTAGAATCTATATTATAACTAATAACTCAATTAGATTGTATTAAATATGATAGTTAAAGTTTATAATTAAAAACTTCAGATTTGTAATTAGTTATATTTTAACGAAGAATTCAAATTTTGTTCATACTTGACAATGATTATCTCGTAGATAGTTCAGGTTCTTAAATAATAAATTAGGAATTTTATATTCATAAAAAATTGTAGATTGAAATTTTTACATGTCTTAAGTTATAACTAAGAAGTCAATTAGAAAATAATGTATTTGCAACAGTTTAGTTAGTTTTACGACAGGTCCAGCATTCCGTTCTGTCGTTCTTCCTCGTTCCTTTCTTTCTTTGTTACGTGTAGGGGTTCTTCGGTAATTTTGATTTATGCCCAGGCAGTCTGCCCTTTTGTCGCCAGTTGTTCGACGGTGCTCTGCATTCGGTCCAATTTATTTTTAAAGCGATCGTAAATCTTCCGCTCGTCGTCGGCATTGTTCTTGAAAGGGAAATCGTTTGGGCCTCGTGCTCACCGCCCAATCCTCAAGATTAGACAACTCATAACACCCCCGAAAGCATTCGCATCCTCCAAATTGACAAGTCTACTAACAGAAGAAGCAGAAAGTCTTAATAGAAAAACTGGTGTGATAGTTTGCGGCTAAATGCAATAAGAATTTTAAAGAGCGCAGCAAAGCAGAAAAATATAAGGGTTTCGCTCTATGAGTCCTGGGGGGAAAATTAGAAATTCCAATGTAAATTGACGTCTCCTCAAGATGTTCGGATCGCGTGTCTTTGGAGCCACGCGATCACCATCTGGAGTTGTTTGTCCTTCTCCTCGTTGTTGTTGTTGTTGTTGTTGTTCGACTCCATTTCTTCGTGTAACAACGAGAAGGACGCGCGCTGCCTTCCTTTGTGCCCGTTTAATTAGAGCCGTTCTAACAATGAACCCATCACAACTAAAGATTCCTTACAAATTGCACACGCGTCTTCTCCTCCTCCCAATACCATCCATTTATTGCATACAAATTGCGAACTGAAACGGCATGAAATCGTCGACGAAACGAGCGGCCTTTTGTGGCGATGCTGCATCGCTCTGGGTCAAAACCCACCCGAAAATTGCGACATAAAAGGGCGAGTGACCGTCGCTAATTTCCTCTACAAAAAAAAAAAGTTAAAAATTTAAAAATAAACGAGAGAACATGATTTATATAATAGGTCCGAGAGCGGAAAGAGAAACGGTCGGTACTCGCAAGGTGGTCCCTTCGTTCCACAGATGTTTCAAATCTTCTTCCAATTGTCCGCAATCTTGTCCTTTTTTTTTTCCACAATTATCGTATAGTTTTTGATCCGCTATTAATACTTGCAAAAAAAAAATCTCACTCGATGGAGGGCCAAAACGCATCCAATTAGAAATAATTCTTAGCGACGTGCCCTCTCCTGGACCACCCCGATTCTCACTCTCCCCCAGTGCAAATAAAACGCATTCGTTCTTCGCTCGAGCAGAAGCAGAGAGAGAGACTATCTGCCACTGTGCGTAACTAATCGTGAAATCCGTTTGCTCATTTTTTCGCCCTCCTTGTTACCTACCAGTTACAACGAGCATGAACTCAAATAAAAGAGCAACTTTTTGCTCTTCAAAGAAAGAAGTAGAAAGTAAAAGCTTCAAATATTCAATGTAGACAAGATAGTTTGACAAAAAAAAATACGTTTCTGGTAACTTGCTACAATTTTTGTGCGAATGAAAGTAGACAAAATGATACCAATTTGTCTACTAAGATGAAAATAGTTAACATAACACACTTTCAAGTAATGCTGCATCGATAAAATTGCGTCATATGAGACAAGTGTGAAAGACGTAATAATATGAAGTAGTCTGATGAAAATGAAACAAATTGCTAATTTAAGTGTAATGTTATGAATAGTGTACGTTAATTATTTTTGAATGAAGCAGGAAATAGGTTTATATAAAAATAAAAGAGTTGAGATGATGTTGGAGAAGGAGGAAAAAAGGTAGAGAGATGTTTTGTTTGGAAGCGAAGGTTTCACAAAGGCGGAGGCTCCGTAAACAATTGACATGGGATAAACCGCCGAATGATTTTTAGTGATCTAAATGGCGCCTCGGCCGCCGTAAAATCTTTTACTGCTATTTACATTCTGCACTACAAGGCAGACTTTTCAAATAAACAGAAGCCACCCAGTTTATTGTAAACACGAAGCGCGGATCGTTCCTCTCTCTGCTTCTCCCTTGCCGCCGCCGCCGCTACCGAAACGACTCAAAACCGAGCAACATCAAACAGCATTCACAAAGTTTTGATCATTCGATCCAGGACTTTACGAGCGCGTCCCGTTTCCAGCCTCTACAAACCACGTTTCTGTTTTGTAATCAACATCAGTTGCACCACACAAAAGGAATCATTTTTTTATTAATGCAGATGCAGTTTCACATTTGCAAGTACTAATATAACATTTTTGAAGTCCAGGATATTTTGGTTGAATATGTATGCATTATAGTTTCATAGATTGTTTTGAAATAATTGAAACTGTTACAATTACTAAATTATGTAATTTTTCATTCCATTTTTTCTACTCAAGCTGTAAATCGTTCATCTTGTAGTCATCATGAAAGTTATCTTCTATGCTAATCGAAGAATTCGAAGACTCGTTTTTTTTATTATATGTGTACGTATAAACGAAACCAAACAAAGCTCCTGTTAGGTATAATTTCAGTTACGAAACTAATTTGAAACGTGACTGGGAGTTAAAGTTTCACCGCTCTTTATTCCTCATTTCGTGTCGTTTTTTTATAAATCCAGTCAGTGTCTCTCATTTCTTTTGATCACATCAAAAAATCATTCATGCCGTATCGAGAAAATTACTTCTTAACCGTTTGAAAATACTCATCTCATATTTTCAATATTTTTATTAAAATGAAATAGCTGAGAGAAATTATGCGTGTATTAGAATATATATTTTTTTTAAGTTCAATCGTAAATATGCCTTTTTTTCTTTCTTGGAATGGTTGATGGGTTGAATGCGTGCAAGGGCTGTGCGTGATTTATATTTTTTAATAAGATCGCACTTTATTATCTCCCAATTCCAAAAAGGGTTCCGGGTTGTATTAAGCGTCGGTGTCACGGTTGCATGTTGAATAGGGGAGTTCCAATATCGGCCCTATAATTTGTCAAACATGTAGTTAACACTTGGCGTTCTCTCTTGGTCTTGGTCTCTTCCTCGACCCCTTTTATTTTGTTGTCCATCCCCTAGTTTATTAAAGTTAAATAATGTACAGACAAGATGAATCGACGCACCGTTATATTAATAAACCGAAAACGTAATGAAAACACACACACACGAACTAATCGCGTGCAGTTTGAAAAAAAAAACCACAAGGGCCGATTCGCTTTCAGCGGTTTTCCGTTTCCTCGGCAGTTGCGTCGCACGATTCTCCCCCCGCCGTATCCCCTCATCAAAACCAAAAATACTCTTTGCAATATCGCGTTTCCTCTGTGGAGGCGATGAATTTTTCGTTGTTTTGTTTTATTTGTTTGCGACGCGACACGAGGTCTAATTAAAAGTGAGCGCACGCGGTGTCGCCCGAATAAAAACAAACTGGGTGAAGGAGGGGGTGTTAGCGGGATCCTTTTAGGGAAAACTGCAAAGAAGGATAATGGCAGAAACAATGCGGGCATTATGCAATTAACGAGATATGGGGCTCTTTGGAATTCTTTATACGCCCTCGCACAATGGTAGACGCGTGCTAGTTAACGCTCTCTCTGCACGTCGTCTCTCTCATTTACATGTCAATTAAAAGCGACAGCATTGTTGGACAGAAAAAAACGGCACAAACGCAAAGCGAGAGGAATAACAGAAGCAGCGCCTTCCGCACAGGAAACATGGAAAATACTGCTAACGACTTTAATATCTACATCTACATAGTATATACATCAATACTATTCGAAGAACTCATTTGCGTTATCTAATCCATCTACGATTAATTTCTGCTGCTTCCAATCTACACGAGATATGAGATAATCTTTGAAACATTTATATTATTCAAGTTATTTATAAAACTAATTATTATTTGCTAACTTTCGCTCAACATTCGTAATGAGCAATAGCAGCTAATGATTATAATGCTTTTAGGAAAATAACAGCTTTATCAAGTGACTGAATTCCACAATAACTTCATCGCGTGTCTCATTTTGAAAATAATTATTATTACAAGATTAAACAATATGAAAATTAGACCATTGAAATCATATTAAATATTCATTAAAAGTAAAGTTTAAAGTATATTTAATTTGATTTTGGTTATAATAAATATTTCAATAAATCACTCATAAACATTGTATGTAATTTAATTTATCAGCTGTGCGAATATTCATATACATTTGCGTGTTTGATTCGAAAAGTAATCATTGGAATAACCGTTTTGAATATTCATGAAAACTCGTCGGTTTTTCAATGCAATGCAATATTATTATTTATTTATTTTATATTCTTGCTACTATTTATAGGAAAGTGTCATAAGTTGACTCAGACGTGAAAATTGCCATCGGTTTATTATTAGGTATTAGGCATAAAAAAAAAGTAATTAATGTTAGTCATGCAATTAGAAACGGAAAAAAAAATGCGAAAATTATTATATAATAACTCAAAATCTTTAAATTTATGTATTTTTCCATTTTTTTTTTATATTTTTTTTTGTACAGTTATTTGGAAAATTTGTCAGTTTTTACAATTTTGTCCTAAATTATTATTTGAATTTTTATTTGAAAAAATATCAATCAACATTTTAATAAGTACAAAATAAAAAAACTTATTAATTATGCCATTGATTATCAGGTTTTTCCGATTAGAGAAATAATTGTTTATTTTTTTTAAAATATTTTTTTAAATGAATTCATTTTGAATCAAATCATCAAATTTAATGACATTAAAGTGTGGACAAACTATTGAAACAATAATTTAGAAAAAATTTGTTTCACATGAGATTTTTTTAAGTAACAATAAATTTTCATAACATGTTTTTGTTTGGGACCAAACAAAAAATAAGTTGATAAAGGTTGAAGAACATATGTTTCTACCTAAATTATGGAAATGTGAGTGTAGTAAGTTTGATTATCAGGTTTTTCCGATTAGAGAAATAATTGTTTACTTTTTTTAAATATTTTTTTAAATGAATTCATTTTGAATCAAATCATCAAATTTAATGACATTAAAGTGTGGACAAACCATTGAAACAATAATTTAGAAAAATTTGTTTCACATGAGATTTTTTTAAGTAACAATAAATTTTCATAACATGTTTTTATTTGGGACCAAACAAAAAATAAGTTGATAAAGGTTGAATAACATGTGTTTCTACCTAAATTATGGAAATGTGAGTGTAGTAGGTTTGATTATCAGGTTTTTCCGATTAGAGAAATAATTGTCTACATTTTTTAAATATTTTTTTAAATGAATTCATTTTGAATCAAATCATCAAATTTAATGACTTTAAAGTGTGGACAAACTATTGAAACAATAATTTAGAAAAATTTGTTTCACATGAGATTTTTTTAAGTAACAATAAATTTTCATAACATGTTTTAATTTGGGACCAAACAAAAAATAAGTTGATAAAGGTTGAAGAACATGTGTTTCTACCTAAATTATGGAAATGTGAGTGTAGTAGGTTTGATTATCAGGTTTTTCCGATTAGAGAAATAATTGTCTACTTTTTTTAAAATATTTTTTTAAATGAATTCATTTTGAATCAAATCATCAAATTTAATGACATTAAAGTGTAGACAAACTATTGAAACAATAATTTAGAAAAATGTGTTTCACATGAGATTTTTTTAAGTAACAATAAAGTTTGGGACCAAACAAAAAATAAGTTGATAAAGGTTGAATAACATGTGTTTCTACCTAAGTTATGGAAATGTGAATGTAGTAGGTTTGGGTGGCCTAATTTCTTCGTTTACGCTTTTTTTTTTCTTTCTTTCAATTCCGGTCGATTATCGCTCTGCGCGGGGCGTAAAATTGCTCAATTTAAGGGAAATAAAGTATCTTTTTATGGTGGCCGAAGAAGTAGTTGTCAGTGTACGAAGGAATATTATTTACGACGATTCAGTTTGGGGAAAAATGTTGGGGTTCCGTCTAATTAGGGTTGTCCATCGAGGCATGGCGTGGTTCTTCAATTTCCAACTAAACACGTACCTGCCTCGACAGAGTCCGTGCCCTTTAATTATCCCAGCGAGCTCACCGTGAAGTCAATCTCTCCACTCCTCTCTTCAATTTTTTTTTTGTTACATTGGAATGATGCAAGGATCGTTTCTTTTTTTTATATTAAACATATATTCGTTACGTCCGGTCAGGAGACTGGACATTGTGCAACGATTTGGACAAAGAGGGCTAATCCCGAAAAGGGATTAGGAATCAGGTCGGAGGCGGTTCTCGACGGTGACCAATGGTAGAACACACCTTCCATCTGCCCATTTTGGACTAATTTCGGACTTAGTCGGGCGGCAGATGTTGACTTCGCACGATTCGTTGATTGTTTAATACAATTACAATTCCGTTTCATATAGTTTTTTTTTTGTGTATTCACTGCTCGCATTCAGGAGTCTTCCGATTCGCACGCCTTTTTTACTACCCCCATCCCGATGGGGGTACGAACGACATCGAGGGGCCACCCCGTCGACCCTTTGTCGCTCGATTAAAGAGTCCAACAAACGTGGACATGGAAAGAAGCACGGATTTTGCAGAATCGTCAAGGCTTTCCGACGGGACGTGACGATCGTCGGATCGCGGATCGCATATCAAATAGCCGTCGTCGCACGACAACAATAAGCATATAAAGAAGTAATAATAATGACGGCGATGATGATGATGATGGTGATTATGACGATGATAACAATAACAACATCAACAACAATGCTTCGATGAATTACATTTCTAGCCGGGGATTTCCCTCCGCGCCTATAAATAGATTCCATTATATTAATCTTTCATTTGTTTCGCGAAACGATGCGAACGAATTCTTAATCATCTCGAATCGATTCTCCACTTATACCATTCAGACACCAGCAATCTATACATCCTATTAATATCAACTTTCTTTGCATCACAAATAATCTCATCTGCATTCATCCTTATATAACTTCAAAAACTTCATTAAACTATTATTATCCAGCATACTTTAACATTAAGTTTTGGGGAAGTTTTAGAATAAGAATCAAAATTTGTTTCTTTGCTCATAACAATTTGTAAAGTTAATAAGATAAAGCTATAGTAAAATTGATGTTACGCCTTATATAGTTAGCATATGCAAATAAACTAGATTCAGATGAAGCTTGGATGATATATGTGAGATTACATGGCATTTCTTCTACTTTTTTATTTTTGGGTTTCATGCAAATGATGTAACGTCTTAATAAACCCAGAGGGTCGAGAATGCAGAAACACATGTCTTGCATTATTATTAATAGGCATGTCCCATTAGGACACGGGGTCCCGGGACACATTGTCTTTGTTGCGTCGACCCTTCCGAAAGTCACCCCAGTTATATGTACATTACTACAAACTTTTTTTTTCTATATTCATTTCGCGCGTTGTTACATGCATGAATCTGTTATGTTTTTTTTTACGATCAAGGGCGCGCTTCATTAGAGAAAGGGTCAGAGGATTGCAGCCTCTACTCTTCATGTCCATTTGTCACCGTGCCATTGTTTATTTAGCGGGAAGGCATAGAGAAATAGAGAACTGAAAAAAAAATTAACAAAAGAAGAGCGAGAACAGAGAGACAGAATAAACGGGATGGTCATTAATTAAACTGGGCTTCCAGGTACCGATTTAAACGGTTACAAACATTAAACTGGAACATTATGTTAGCTATTTTTTTTGTCGACAAGATTTTTCTTGTTCTCATTGAGATTTATAGTATACTTAGTTAATAATACTATATAATAAGAAAACATTACAAGATCGAATGTTGGGATGATATTAATAGTTTTTTTTTATAATTATGTAAAGTTGAAACTGTTGTTCATAATTTGTGTTTTTTTGGGCTTCCAGGTACCGATTTAAACGGTTACAAACATTAAACTGGAACATTATGTTAGCTATTTTTTTTTGTCGACAAGATTTTTCTTGTTCTCATTGAGATTTATAGTATACTTAGTTAATAATACTATATAATAAGAAAACATTACAAGATCGAATGTTGGGATGATATTAATAGATTTTTTTTATAATTATGTAAAGTTGAAACTGTTGTTCATAATTTGTGTTTTTTTTTGTTTGTTTCTAGGTGCACATAAAGTCCTCGTTCATAATGAACGGTGTTTGCGTGAAATGGAGAGGTTGGATCGATCTGGAAAGGCTCGACGGTGTCGGCTGCTTGGAATACTGCGAGGAACGCGCCGCCGCTGAAGACGCTATACTCCGTGAGCAGATCGAGAGGTACAACCAGAGGCTGCGCGAGTTCGAGGACAAGCAGCGAGGATACAGACAGGAAAGGCCCGATCAGGATTTGGATGTAAGTATTTTTTTTGTCCATTCCTCGTAACGAAAACTTCTGGTGCTCCGACGACTAATTGCAAGGGTGGATGGATGGTGAAACAAAGCGGAACGGAACAACAAACGGTTGAGCACCTTCCATATCCACTCTCTTCACGGATTGATTCGTGAAGCGTTGAAGCGTTGAATTGCCTCCGGACAGCTAAGCAAACACGTCTTCTCTCTGCACGCCCTATCCCTCCTCACACCATCGTTCTTCTCGAGCCCTCAACTCGTCTCTTTCTCTCATTCACTTTCGTGCTCTTACGCAATCTGTTTGCACACCGTGCACCACTCCCACGCAGATTTCTGCGATTCCGGAGGCGGATTCACAATCGTGCACCTGTTTATCCGGAGCTTAGACCCACTCTCAGTTTTTCTCACACAGTTTTGTTTGAATGTCACTTAGAGGATATAATCGCATTACTCGCATATTCCCGATGCACGTAACGTCAATATCAAACGTCACTTCAAAATATTATGCAATGCATTACGAATTCCACACATTTTTTTTTTAGATCAAGTTTTAATTTAACGATTTTTTTCCATATAGTTTGTTAATGTTTATAAAGACAAATCTTAATTCAATTTGTGCAAATTTATTAATGAGTTAGTACTAGTTTTGTAAACTTATCTAAGTTAATATAATTACTAATTAAAAATAATTAATATAATTATCAAATCGACAAAAAACTCGATAATTTTCATCATTTTATCAAGAATAATTTCAGTAAATAATATCAGTTAAATTCATCAAAATTTCAATGAACAATAAAATCTTAACTACTTATTAAAATTTGAACATTTTGCTAAATTTATCTAAGTTAATATGAAAGTAATTACTAAGAAAATCGATAAGGAATTTGGTAACAACATTTACTACAAATTCTTTGAAGATAAGATATTATCAGTGAGAAATACGTAGCAAAATTTTAATTTGTTTGTACAAGACAAATTAACAAATCGTTAACGAACTTGGTATAATCCAAAAAGATAAGCTGATATAACTTATGTTTACATCAATAAACAAATATGACATTTTGTAAAGATGATTTACGCAATAATTATGGTAGCCAGAAGGCAGAACAAAGCAATTTTATCTTTCTATTTATTTACACATTTTTGCTGCCTCGACTAACGACCGAAGTCTTTCTGTCTGGAATATCTTTGATAATTTCCTTTGTGACAAACATACCGCTTCTATCTCATTGATAAAATCATGGATAACCTGATGGAAGGTTGTCACGGTGTCAATGATACGTTCTTAATCCAATTTCATAGTCCAAAACTGCAAAATTGCAGTACTTTAATTTCGTTTTTTTTTTCTCGATTTAGAATCTGTTACAAGCAAAAGGGAAGTGATTACGCGACGGGGGGAGATTCGCGCATTGTTTGGCATGAAATTGTAACAGTAATAGAGTGGAATCCCTTGTTAGTAAGGTCGTTATTAGAGATCGAGGGGGGTCCGGGGCGCGACAATATCGTAGACGACGGGACGTCCTCAATATTGAGCTCGGGAAGGTGCCGAAGTGAAAAATCAAAAAAAAAAAAATATAAAATAAAGCTACGACGTATTAGTCAAAAGGGGGAACGCATGTGTGTGTTTTGATGCCCCCCGGTCGGGTTCTCAACTTTTGCCACGCTTTTTGTTACGTTTCTCTCCTACTGTCCCTATTTACGTTTCGTTCGTTCTTTCTTTCTCCTCCGGTGCTTAGCATATGTCCGACCTGGATCACGAATAATAAGCTTATGAATTAAACGCAACGTTTCTATACAAAAATGTTTCAATTGGGTTCTTCTCTCACTCACAAACTATACGTTCTTCGGCCGTTTCATCCCCTGCCGATACGTGCATTGTGCGCACTCGAAACGTCAAAAAATCTATTATATAACATATTTATTATACTTTTTTCTTCTCCTCATCGGTTATTTTGAAAATCAAACAGAAAACTTATAAACAACATTTTTTCAACATGTTTACCAACCGAATTTCAGAAATTATATACGATTTACTCAAAATTTATAAGACTTTTTTAATATTTAAGTTCTACTTTATAATGAAACTTCACAGTATTTTACACAAAATAAACCTAAATTCTAAGTCGATTTCTGTAAGTAAAAGAGCTGTAAGTAAAAGCGGAACTTCATTCTCTAAGTAAAAAGTATCTAATGGTCTTTAAAATTTGTTAAATTTCTATTATTTGTATAAAACAAAACATTAAATCTAATTGTTGTGTAAACATGTTTTCATCATTCTTCAATTAAATGAACTGATAGAATTTTCAATTTTAAGTTGACGTGAATGGATTCGGACTCCCTTCATTCCCTTGTGTATGCAATTCTACTCTTTTTTTTGTTGTTGAAGCAAGGGTTGTTTCTCCGAAGGGGGCAATGAAATAATTTAATTGAAATCAAAATATATAACTCGCCCCGCACGCATCCAATAAAACGCTAAGCCCTTGCTGCGCGCTTCATCCACCCCATCCGAAATTTCAATCTAAATTTATTTCATTCCACTTGCGCAATATGTTCTAGTCCTCCCTTTCCTCATTCGAAATTGCTCTACCTTAGCCATAGAATACAAGATCCAATTGAAAAAAAAAACAAACTTTAATTACTCCAATGGGAACACCTGCATCTGCAACCCATTAAAATTAATTAATTTTAAGAAATTTACTTACTTTATTTTGTAAGTTTCTTAATGATATATTCTTAATACATATTCTTAACGAAAAAGTTTGAAAATTTGAAATTCTCTTACGTATTCATGAAATTTTACTAAAGAAAGAAATAGGTACAATTCACTACTCGTCATTTTATCAGTTTTTTTTAATGATTGAAACGAAATTTGCAAGTTTCTTGTTTATAAATCATTTATTTATTTCATATTTATAACTAAATTAGTTCTATAATTTGTTACGCAATTATTTGTAGAAGTATGTAGTTTACATAAAGAAATAATCAAAATAATGTATATCATTTTCTCATTGTATTTTTTTTTCCAAAATATGCACTTCACTGATGAATGATGTACAGCTTTTCTCCCCCTCGTATTATTATTTTTTTTTTCTGATGTAAATGCAGCGAAAATTGAGAATTACTGGTAATATCGCACTGATATACCTTTTGTCGTTGACTTTTGCGCAGGGGTCGAATCCCCCAATTCGTACAAAAACGTCCCAAATCCAGAACACAATGGAAACGATCGGAGCTCTTCATTAGTGATGGACCCCCTAAGAACGATTCCATCAAAAATTTCAACACTCCATCAATTTCGAATATATTTACAAAAACAAGAAATGATCAACGGAAAATTTATATTTTTTTGTTGCTATTTTTTGATGAAATTATACTAATGAAATTATTTAACAATTGTTAAATATCTTCACTCATAGCTAACTAAATTATGTAAATAATCCTTTAAAATATTCACCAATTGGTGCAAACTACTTTTAACTACTACTACTTTTATTACTTTTTGCTAATCGATCAATTTACAAAAGAAAATTTTATACTTTTTGCATGTAAATCAGAGATATTTCATTATTAATAATCTTAATGCAATGAGAGAATACATTCTCTTTTAATTGGTGCAATTTATTTTTATATTTATTTTGTGGAAATATGTTAAATTATTACAAATGGAAATTTACATGTTTTGCAATATTTCTGAAAATTATCTTTCATCTTTTGGTTATTAATCATGTTAATGCAAGGATAAAATGTATATAAAAATATTCGTTAGTTGGTGCAAATTAATAGTGTTTAGTACATTCAATCAATTAAATTGGTGCAAAATTATTTGACATAAATGTGCATACTAGTTTTTCTGTATTTTCTATAAATTCAATGGAAATTTGTACTTGTTTGCATTTGTCGTTGGGATTGATTGCGTCGAATCTGTTTTAATTAAAGTAAATCTGCTTTGGAAATGAAAACACGGGACCAGTATTATTTTTAATTTACGGATCGAAGATTAGGGATAATCCCGCTGCTAATTGGTTTAAATCCTAGTTTAAAGTCCGGGATGGGTATTATTTTAAGCGTGGGGAGATCGAAAGATCGTGAGCGCGTGCACAAGTGGATGAAATAGAGATTTCGCGACGATACAAATCCATCTCTCTTCCTCTCTCCTCTCCCTGTTGTCTTCGTAATTCCTGAAAGGTTGCCCTTTAATTTGCTGGGGTCGCGCCCTCCGAATACCACCCTCGTCGATCGTTAGACTCTCCCCTACGCAATTTCAAAACTAAAAATACAAGAGCAGAACAAGGAAAAAAATACTGCGATGCATGTGTTTCCTCCACTTCGGGTTTTCATTAGAGGAGAAGGAGAAGAAGAAAGGTGCCGCCGGTCATGTTTTCGTATACAAATCGGATTAAGGTGCCATTGATACACGACCTGAATGTGACGAAATGTAATCCTTATTTGTTATTTTTGGACACGCATCCTCAGGAGAGATCAGTTGCTCATCTCCTCTTTCCGAATCTATGAAGCGTGTGAGGAGAGATCCTTCGCTACCTGACATCGACACTAGCAGCAGATTTATATTTTTTCCTCGAAACTTTTACGCAACGCACTTGATTTTCTAAAGGCTCAGGTGTGTTCATCACGAGATAAATCGAATGATACTGCAACAAATGCATTCAAAAACCTGAAAGAAGTATTCACAACAACTTTTCTTAAAAACCTAATAATACAGCTGCATGCTATTACCATTTCGACTGATTAAGCAATGATCAAATGAAGATATGAATACTTATATAAACTGTGTTTACAAATTTGGTTATATAATTCTAGTCTTCAAATTCACAAGAAACTGATTTTTTAACATAGAATCATGAAATTTTGCATTATTCAAATCACTACTGCAAAAACTAATGATAATTTAAAAAAAATAGATTTTTAACATTTAATTATGAAAATTTTACATTCAACAATTTGTGTCTTGCAAATCTTTCAAATTACAAAAAATAATAATTTTACATCACAAAATTTTGTTTATTTTAATGCAAATGAATAGGATTTTCCATACTTTCAATTTGGTTACGTAATTCATGTTATGTGAATGTTAAATCTTGCAAATTACCAAAAAGAAAAATTACCAGATTTTTAACATAATGGTTTTTGGTTTACTTGTTGCAAATAGGTTTTTTGTATACTTAAGCTTGGTAATCTGTAATGTTTGTTACGAATGTACGATTCACCGCTGAAAGAAAGATTAGTGCATGGAGGAGTGAGTGTTCATTGCGTTTATTTGTAAAGAAACTCCTGTATGTGAATAATGTATGGGATGAAAATCACGAGAAAGGAATAGATAGGTTTGAAAAGGATTAAACTACATTAAAGGAAGGTTGCATAATGCGGAAAATTTCGCCTTCAAACTCTGTTCCATATACCTGAGTTTTGAGGTTCATCCTTCATCATCGATTCTTCGAAATTTGCGCAACGCACTTGATTTCCTTCTTTTCCGCCTCACAGGTGTCCATCCATTGTACCACACAACTCGGATCGTGGGAATCGTACGCCAATGATTGATACCTTATTATGTAGCGAAACTATTTTTTTTTTCCCTTCACGATAACAATTTCGGAACCGTAATCCTGACAGGGATACGTGGACTTATGTCAAATAAACGTGGATTATCCACCCTTAATTTCCTTCACACATATTTATTTCGATTTTTCCTCTCTTGTTTCAGTTGCGAATGACCAACAACATCCACGGTCACCATGGACACCACGGGGCGGCACCCATCTCTCGTTGCCATGGACCCCAGAGACACGGACTCACTTTGCAAGTAGGCATACCGCTCACACCACCCTAAAAAGAAAACAATTCCAGCCAAAACAAAAAATAGAAATTATTATTATATATATTATTATTATTTTTAACGAAAAAGCAACATCAAGAACGAAAAAGAAAATATCGAAGGAAACACTAGTGCAATGTGCCAGATTATATGTATATTACTGTAATTATTATTATTGATAGTTTTGTTTTTCTTTTAAGTATAGAAGGAACCAAAGAGATGTGAATTAATCCGTTAATTCAATCGTTTATGGATCTGTTTGTCCGTTTTTTTTTTATTATTATATATGTTTCTCTCTTTCTTTTTTGTTTTGTTACGATGTGTGCTTTTGTTGAAAAGCGCAACTAATGTTTGTCCCAGCCGAGTATGCAAATGCGGTACAAAAAAAAATAGGGCACCCTTTCCTATTGTACTTCTTCATTTATTAAGTACACGGCCGAGAATGACACGGTTGTTTCTAGTTTTGACCCCTTTACGCTCATGATGAATGGCCGAAACCTATTTGTATATAATTCAGTTTATAATTATATAACGCTTAGGTAATTACTACTATGACTATTATTACTTTATATATAGATTATATTATATACATGGACGCTTTACACTATTATTATTTTTTTTTTGTCAAAGAGTTAAAATGAAAATCATCCATTCATCTATTAACCTTCATGGAATTTAACAATTATTTTTTTTGTTCATAGGTTTTAGATTTTTGTATTTCTTTTGATTTTTATTTTTTTTCTACTACTTTTATTATTATGATTTTGTACAACTTCAGATGTTACGATTAAATATATCAAATTTTTGTTTGTAATCTTTTGTTTTTTTTTCTTTGTTTATATTTATTTTCTTTTGTTTCCGTTTCCTTTTATTTATTTTTCACAGCTTACACCAATTAAAAAAAAATATATAAAAATTCATAGTCCATGGATTTTATATATGGTAAGATTTTTATTGTTTATTTATTTATAATTTGTTAATATTATTTATCTACTTAAAAGATTAATAGGAAACTTGCTAAATTCATTAACTTCATTTCGTTTTTATAAGTTTATTTACACTTTATTATATATTTTTTGATTTTTTTTTCTTGTTGAAATGAAAAGAACTAACAAATTCTTTTTGAAAGTCAACTAAGTTTTTTTAATGATTAAAAAAAAAACGTAATAAATCCCATTTGATTCTAATTTAATGAATTTGAATATTAGACGAAAAAATCATAAAAATGTTTCTTATTAATTAATTTGAACCATAAAATGTTCATGATTCTTTAATTAAACTAAATTACAAGAAAACCATTATTTTGAATAACTTTATATTAACATTTTTTTTTTTTAATATTACTAAAAAACTTAAGAACTAACTATAATATAATTGGAAAAAAGTTTGGATTTCTCTATGTATTTACCAATATTTTTGCAACAAAACTGTTTATTTCTTGTTTTAAACAGAAACATTTTTAATTCAAATAATAGAAAATGTGTATGAAATTATAATTTTATTAATTATTTTCATAAGTTAAAAGAATTTAATTTTACTTTAACGATTAATTAAATGAAAATTAGTAAACTTCTTGATTATTCTATAATTATTAAAGTTTAATGTTTTCATAGTTAATTAGAATGAATCAATGAAAAATTAGCAAATATTGTTCTATATTTTCTGTTACTTTTAACAAAAAGATTTATAATATTTCGATGAACAATTACATAAAAATGTAGCAAATTCAGTTACTTGAAGTAATTTGAAAGAAAATAATAATATATAATGGAGATGATACAAAGTACAAATATTCATACCACAAAATTTAACGATTTCAGTCAAAATAATTGAAAATATTTACAATGCGATTAAATGCAAGTAGCTAAACTAATATTTGTTTAGCAGAAATACTTAACGACATATTTAACTAATCAGAACTGAAAAACATCAAAGTGATTATCATATCATGTTGTTTATCAATTGTCTTATGATAAATATTAAGTAAATTTAATATTCGTAAAAGTACTTTTAGCAGCAATACATAATGACTTAATAAGTAGATTATTTTGTAATTAACTAATCAGATATTTTTGTTAGAACAAAACAAGTCAAACATTCTGATTGTATATTGTATTATGATAAATATTAAGTAAATACTATATTTCGTAAAAGTACTTTTAGCAGCAATACTTAATGATATCATAACTAAGATTATTTAGTAATTAACTAATTAGATATTATCAGAATGGAAATAGTCAAACATTTGAAATCAACGAAATTTTCGAATATTTTCAATTTGCTATGATAATGATTGTTGATTGAGCTGAAATTTTCTGTAAAATAGAAATGAAAAATATAAAAATAAATATTGAGTTTAAGTCGAATTTTATTTTGATGAAACTCATTTATTGAATTCTATTTCTAATTACCGAATTCCAGTCTTATTTCTAAAAAAATGATTTACAAAAGAAATTAATATTTTGGCTTTCAATAAAGTTTTTTTCGATAAATACTTAAACATTTAGTTTCTTCTTAGTTTTTAAGACTAATTGAAGATTGCCACTTCATAATGATAGAAATTAATGAAGTTTTTTGTTTTTTCTAAATTTAAAACATAAAGAAATATTATAAAACGTAAAAAATATTTTTTAGTTCTTAAACATTGAATAAATGCTAATTCAAATAAATAAATAAAATTGTATTATCATTTCTTGAAATCTAAAAGTAATAAAACTAGTTTCCAAGAAAACATTATACTTGAGAATAATTATAGATCTTTACTCGCTTCGTTATGTCTTGCAAATGGAGAAAACATAATTTATTGTTATTTTTTATTATTACTTAAACATTTATTTAGTTTCTTCTTGATTTTTAAGTATAATTGAAGATTTCCACATCATAAAAATAGGAATTAATGAAGATTCTTAGTTTTATAAATGTATAACAGGAAAAAATGTACTAAAATGTAAACTTTTTGGTTCTTAAACATTGAATAGAAAGAAATAACATGAAGTTTCTTGTTATTTTTCTAAATATTATTTGATCATTGATTTACTTTTTACTTGCTTTATGAAGAATTCCACTTGAAAATAATAGAAATGAATAATATTTTGATTAAAAGTAAAAAATTATATTTTGACCTTTACATGAAGTTTCTTGGTTTTTCTAAATGTGAAACATAAAGAAATATTCTAAAACGTAAAAATTATTTAAATTAATTTTGCGTTCTTAAACATCATGAAAAGAATCATGAAATAAATAATATTATCATTTTTAGATATCTGAAAGTGATAAAACTGGAGTTTCTTTACATAATAATAGAAATTAATGAAGATTCTTGTTTTTTATTCTTTACATTAATTCAGTTTCTACTTGGTTTTTAAGGTCAAATTGAAGAATTCCTCTTCAAAATAATAGAAATTAATAAACATAAATAAATATTCTAAAACGTAAAAATCGTTTAAATTACTTTTTAGTTCATAAACATTGAAGAATCATCATAAATGCTAATACAAATAAATTGTATTATCATTTCTTGAAATC